CAATTTTATATTTGGATAATATTTATATATATATATATATATATATATATATATATATATATATATGTTGGAGCATGTTTTTGTCGAAGAGTAAAAGTAATGTATTGTGATTTGTCTTAACTTAGTCGAATTTTCCATAGTTTGCATCAATCATTAAATTTTGTTAGATGATGTTAAGTGTGTGAGGCATGTGTACAATTTTTATATGTTGTTAGAATTACTTTATTATCTGCATAATTCGCTGTAATAAAATAAATAATAAATAAAACTATATATTATATTAATAATATGATATATCTTGGGTTGTCAAATAAGTGATTTCGGTTTTTCTGTTATTTCTATGTCACTATGATACACTTCTTATCTGACGAATTAATGCCTAACGTGGATTGTTTATCCTGTTTATAATATGTCAACAACTGTTAACTCTTTTTGAAACTAGCTTAGTATTGTGTTTGCTATTGCACTGAAAATATGGAAGAAAATATCATTCATTATCGGTATATTTTTTTGTATTATTTTAAAAAAGGTAAGCGTGCTACAAACACTCATAGAAAAATTTACAATGTTTATGAGGACGATGTCTTAACCGAACGCACTTGTCAAAATTGGTTCGCCAAATTTCATTCAGGAAATTTTGACATCAAAGATGCTCAATGGTCTAGTCGCCCACATGAAATTGAAACGAGCAATGTTAAGGCCATTGTTGATCAAAATCCCATCCAATCAGTGTGAGAGATTGCTACGGCCTTAAATGTGTCGTACACAAGCGCAGAAAACCATTTTCACAAGCTCGGCTATGTTTCCTGGCTTAATGTTTGGGTCTATCACACGATTTTTTTCGAAAACGCAAAAACTGTTATAACTTAAATACGATTTTAGCTATCTACAAGAAATTTAGCGGGAATTTAGGACCATATAAACTACACAAAATGACATCAACAGGACCTTAGTACAAACTAAAAATGGAGATAGAAATTAAAAACATATAACGGAGTCCATCGCCCTCCCCCCAACCAAAAATGAAAGTCGTGTCTATGTTATACTGCCATATTATATCACTACTGTAAGGATTGTATGTAAACATTTTCCATTCTTTTTCTATTTGTGCTAAAGGTGATATTTTGCAGTCTCCAACTGCTACAAGTAGTCTGCTACTGTGGAAATTAGCATAGAGAGATAAAACATGAAATTATACAAATAAATAATCAAGAATTAATCAGTATTTATAATTTCATTTAAAAAAAAACAACTCAATTTTCACATACGATATATAGAAAGTCCAGAATGTCAGATCAACTCTACGCTAGATCATGTGCACATAGAGGAGACTTTCTATACAGACCTGCCCATACACAGAAAGTACTGAGGTCCACTTTCCAGGTGTTTATAGCTCATAATGTTCACAATTACCTTCTCCTTATGGAAGTAGAAAGTACAAGATGGAAAAATGTTTGTGTTAGTTTCGGAGTCGTTCTGTAGAGAAACCAGAAACAAGTTTGTACGTGTTCCTCATATTCTTCTATAGATGAGAAATGGGCAAGTTCGTAAACACATCTGGGAAGAAAAGAGGCAGGGTTCTGACAGAACACATTCTCGGACATTAGCGGATTCAGGATTTAATTTTGGTGGAGGGAGTTTCAGTCCAAAAGCTTTGTTTTTCATAAAAATAACGATAATTAATTTGGAAAAAAATAAAGAAACTAACTACCTATATGAAATAGTGTTTAAGTGATTCCTAAAGTCCTTTTAAGTTATTTACACGAACAATAATACTTTAAGAGATAATTTTTTTATATTTTTTTTCATAAAACATGGTTATATTTTACCATTTTGGAGGGGCTTCAGCCCCAAACCCCCTACCCGTAGATCGGCCCGTGTTCTCGGATGTACAATGTGTACAGGTCGTTTTGGCCAGGCCGGCTAGTCGGCGATTACCGAAGGCCCCGATTAAGAGCGGATCCGGAAAGGGTTCCGAAATCGTTCTCTATATTTTTCTAGTACTCTAAAAATAATTGTTTTGTATTTGTAGGCAAAAATAAATGATAATATTTTTACATATGCCGACGTTTCGACCTGAAGTTCAGGCCTTCATCAGGGCTAAGAAACCAGATAACAAGGTATGAGAAACATGAGTAGTGATGGTAAAAAAAAATAAATAAAAAATATAAATAAATAAAATAAAGTAAAATGAAATTGTTAGAATAATGACAATAGTAAGAACTAAGAGATAAATAATAATGACCATTACAAAGTGTGGAATGATGAAGTAGGCATAATCAAAAAGGGTGACATAAGTGTTAAAATGGGAATCTTAGAATAAAATGTAAAACATAAAAAAGAAATATGAAGTTATATAAGAAATGAAAATAAATAGTAAAATTAAGACATTGAGAATGGAGTAGTTAGATAGAAAATTGAGATATTGTAAAGTCTATCAAGATGTACAGACAATGTATAATATAATAAAGAGTTAAAAACAGAGAGAAGGAATGAAAGGAAGGAGGGAAGAAATTGAGAAAGCTGAAATAAGAAAGAAATAAAAGAAGTACTACCTGTCTCCATAAGTGTTGCAGGGAGAATAAAAGTATATATATATATATATATATATATATATATATATATATATATATATATATATATATATATATAAATTTATATATATAAAATTTATAATTTTTATATATATATATATATTTATTATAATTTATATATATATTATAATTATATATATATATATATATATATATATATATATATAATTTCATAATTATATAATTTCAGTCTTATATAATTTCATAATTCTTTTTTCTGTTTTACATTTTATTCTAAGATTCCCATTTTAGCACTTATGCCACCCTTTTTGATAATGCTTACTTCATCAATCCACACTTTGTAACGGTTATTATTATTTATCTCTTAGTTCTTACTATTGTCATTATTCTAACAATTTCATTTTACTTTATTTTTATTTTTTTTTGTAATTTTTTTTTTTTTTTTTACCATCACTACTTATGTTTCTCATACCTTGTTATCTGGTTATTTTCTTAGCCCTGATGAAGGCCTGAACTTCAGGTCGAAACGTCGGTATATGTAAAAATAAATATTATCATTTATTTTTGCCTTCTTTTATGACTTACCACCCCAACTATTCTTCTCTTCATTATCCACGACAGTCAACCATTTACCAATTATAATAAGCTGTTTAAGATTGAATATAACCATTTTTTATCCACGTCGCTTTAAAAAGGTGATATTTAGAGTAAACCGAAAAAAAAGATCGAAATTTCAATGGGTTTTGGAGCACTGTAGCGAACCCACAAGGCTTTCAATGGTTTAGGCTTGATTTTTTTATAGTCACAACATACCTAACAATATAAAAATGAAATTTGAATTACCCGATCTTTTGCAAGGTTAGACCCCTTTTTTTGTGATAATTTGACTAGGCATCTTAAAATATGAGAAAGGAGTTTTAGTTATTCTAGATGTCAACCATGATAACACTTACTCATTGCTACAAATCGATATCAGGATGAAGAGAATTGTAGAGAGTGGTGTCGGTGTATAGGATAATCTTTTATTTACTAACATTTTATAAAATGTATTTCTCACTTAATTCTAACTTATACGTGTATTTATCTCCTTCGAGGATGAACTCCATTAACAGAAACTGAAATGGATTTAAACATGAACCTAAAGTATTTCGAACAACTTATAGTTTTGACTTTTCCCCCGCTAGATTTGATCTCTGGAACACTGTACAGTGGCCTGACTTTTTGTATTTTTACTTTCCTACCTATACTAGGCAAGGAAAGTATTACAATCGAGTCAAATTTCCGACATGCTGTTTTCGACGGATCTATACGTTTCGGAGCCCCCTGAGTCCGAAAAACACATTTTTAGCCATTGATCTGTCTGTCTGTGCCAAGATTTTCTCAGGAACTACTCAACCAATTTTGTTACTTCTTTTTGTATTTTGTAGGGTTTTGACTACTCATGCCTGTGACAGAATGAAAAACATGTAAAACTATTGAAAGGTAATTACATTACCAACAAAACAAAAACAAAAATCATCGAATGCCATAATAAGGAATCGAACCAGTATAAGCGATTAAACAGTATAAGCGTTTAGGCTGTCGTTTGAAAGGTAATGAAATTCCCTACAAAGCCATATAAAAATCGTTCATTTTGGACAACTATTAACGAAGTTACAGCTATTCAATTTCCAATGTAAGATTACGTTTTCATACCCTGGTGTCAGAAAGGAGTGAATGAGAGAATAAAGATGACTAATTGAAAGAAAGAAAATCAGTTGCCTGCATCACACAACCTTCACTATTTCCTCTACTTTTAACAGGAATTATTGTTTGACAATACTAAGCTATCGCAAAAAAGTTTTTGATCAGCAATATTGGGAAGTATTGCAATTTGTACACTGATCTGATCTACCTTAAGCCGGTTTACATTGCTTTAGTTTATCAAATAAATCGTACTCAAATCTTATATTTGATCTATTTTAGGGAAAATGTATCTAGTTCAATTCTTTTTTGTTTCTTCATAAACATATGTAAAGATATAAAAACTTTTCTGAAATAGGTAGGAAATTCGTGTGAGTGGACACACCAGATTTTTTAACAGGTAATAATTCAATTATCTTTTTAATTGTTAATATGTATTGCTTAATTTTTCCTTTTTTTTTTTTTTTTGTCTCTCTGAGATAAAATTTTTAATGAGAAGACTTTGGGCAAATTGCATTGGGAGGGGGGGAGAGGGAAGGGCGAAACCCACGAAACAAAAGAAAATCGATCCACTCGTGCTTGACCGTCGCGGTCTCTTTTATCTTGTGTAATTTTTATATTTTTATGAATATGTTACATTTTTTTCATATTCTCCGATGTAATACTTATTCTCCTCATGTTATTCATATCATTATTAATTAAATTTCATTCATTAATTATATGAAAAGTGATTACTATTTAAAGATGTTTGAATTAAATGGGCATTCTTATAATTTATTTTAATTTATTGTAAGTGATTTATAAATACCCTTCTTAATAATATTCTTTCTGTTGCAGGAGAGGATGTAGAGGATGCATACAAGCCCCGCAGATGGATATCAGCGGGCGAAGGCCCATACCGGCTCATCGTATCTTCTGAGTCGGAGTCCCTGGACCAGGAGGAATCGGTCTCCTTAGCCGCCGCGCAGGCCAAGAAAGAACGGGAGAAGGCGTCCGGCGAGGAGTATGACAAGGTCACCCAGCGGATCATCCTCAAGAGAACCAGGAAGAGGGACCGCCTTTCTTCGGAAGTTCTGAACCCGCGAAAGAGGCGAAGGAACCCGACCTCTTCGACGACGGGTCTTCCACAGACCATGTCCTATAACCTGTACAACCACTTCCGCCCGCTAGAGCAAGATGTGCCTCAGGACCACCTCATTCCTTTTCTCGACTTTGGCAAGAAGCTGTCGACACCGAGCGGGAACGACGGCTCTTCTACTCCTAAGCTCGATGACAGAGATGAGGATGACGTTTTCCACGAAGACATGGATGTCACGGTGATGAAGAAGGCCGTGGAGAGAAACTCAGCGCCGCGTGGTCCAATCCAGATGAAGCCTACGCACATCGCCAGCTTCTTCGCTACCAACTCCTCGGAGTCCGCTCCTCATGTAAATAAAACCGTCCAAATTTCTAATGATACTTCGGATGTTCAAACTAAGACTGACCAGAAGGATGTCCATTATGACCTCCAATCCAACGAGAGTGGTATCAAGCTTCATGCTGTTCTTTCACCCAACTATGGCCTGAGGCTCAATAGAACTGAAAAAGAAACGACAAACGTCACAGAAAGCAGCACGGAGTCTAAAGGCATCAGTTCTACAACTGAAACTATAAACATGAACATGACTTCGACTGAGAGAGCTGTCACTGACAAAGAAAAAGAAGAAAGCAAACCCGAGCAAGTGACAGAATCTAAAGTTGAACACGTTGAGCCTCTTTCGAAAGTAAATATTGATGACTCAGAGCGTGATGATACTCCAGTTCCTATTCCTGCGCCGAAACCTACAGCAAGGATTCTTTCCACCGCAGTGGTCACTTCTGTCTCTGTCAAAGAAACACTTCCTAGGCTGCCCAGGCTCAAGCCCAACATAACCAGGCCAGAAACTTACCAGAGGCTAATGTTGAAGAATACCACTTCAGAAAACATTACACAAACTCCACATATCAGCCATGATCCCAGGCTCCGATTGGACAACTATACGCTTATCGGGCTTCAGAATGCGAGGCGAAAACCCTACACGACGCTTAGGCCAAAGACTACCACTTACAGACCCGTGACTTTCAGAAGTGTGTTTAGGAGGAACATGACAGGTTTGGGGACAGGAGTGGTCCATATCGTGTCGACACCTCCGACCTACATCGAAGTACCAAAGATTATTACCAATCCTCCTGTAAGGCTTGCTCATATTGACACTAGGCAGTTCCCAGTCACCAACAGGGTCCAACATCTCTTCCCCACGATAGCTTCTTCTTTCAGGCCTAGTACTACAAGACCTTCAACGTCCTTAGCTCCTACAATGACGTCTTCTTCAACGCCTCCAATGGAAACCACAACCATGTCTGTAACCACTACAACAAGACCGACTACAATAGCAACAAGTCCTGTCACAACATCAACAAGCCCACCTTCGACAACTGCTAGGACTACAACAACTACCATATCGGCACCCCCAATGACTACTAGTCAAGTCATTGCTACGGAAGGATTCCCTGCTGATTATCCTATGAAAACCGAACTAGGAATAGTTGAAGATATAAGTGGCGAAGTGGAAAATGCAACAGTACACATAGAGTTCAAGCCTTTAGATACTTTGCAGACTTCCTCGACTACAGAACCATCCGGAAAGGAAATAGGCAAAAGGCCGAGCCTACTCTGGATATACAACCAGAGAAATCATTCTATTTTGAGAAATCAGCCAGTAGGTGTCGCCTACCCTGAGTCTCAGATAGGTCTAGTTACGTACGTTCTGGCTGCTCTGGCTCTCATACCGCTTATACTTGGACTTTCAGTACTTGTCAGGCAGATATTCAGGAAGTCAAAAAAGAAGGTAATTCTTCATTATTATTATTATTACTAAATGTTTAAAAAAAAATAATATGAGTAATAACACAGTTCTGCAACAACAAAAAAATTAAAAAAATACTTTCATAAATCTGTCATATCTAGTATTATTGTGAAACTAAACTTAGAAGTAGGATTTGGAATGGAAAGTTTTTTGTTTTATTTTTATTCAAGGAGAAGAATATAAATTGCTACAATCAAGGGCAATAGGTATTAAGTTTATATGTGTAAATTCATACCATATATATATAGAAGCTAAAATATAAAATAAAAATTTAACATAAATGAAAATTAAATAAAACAAATCAATAAAAAAAATTAATTGTAAGAATAATAATAAAAAACACATTTGTAATAACTGAACAATTTTTATATAAAATGAAGTTAAAAGTTAACTTTTATTTTTAATAAGTTTTGATATAACCGATATTTTGATTTTTTTTATTTTGTGTGTTATTTCACTATTAAAACTTTTTTCTATAGAATATTTCAATTAAATGTTTGATGGAATTTTTATTTTTAGAAAACGTTAACTTAAAAGTTCTGTTAAAACAATTCATTGTGTCAAAAAATAGATTTAAAAATAAAAATTTTGCAGTAGTTTCTTTATATAAGAATCAGGCAATTCATTCAACATAATTTGTAATCAAAGCTCATAGGAAACAGGAATGTTTAGAATTTATGTTTATATATTTTAAAAATTAAATCAACTAAAGTTGTGCAATTGAGAAAAAATAAGAAATATCAAAAATATTTTAATAATATATTACAGAAGTAATATTTATATAATTTCTTTGAGTATTTATAAATAATACATGTTTTATTTTAGATTTGAAGATAGCCAATATAAAAAGGATGGTTTGCAATTATTAACAGCAATTTACAATTTCAGGTTCTTGATGAGTCGGAATATTCTTCAGAGTACAACAGGACACCTTTACCCACCAAATTGCCCAGAGTGCCCCCTCATATTGTAAGTATTATATTGTATTAATAACAACTAGTATCATATTTTATTGATATTTGGTTTAAATTCAGAAAATTTTTAAAATGAAATTATCATGACCAGATTACTTTCTGGCTTATCAACATCCCGTCAAACATTAAAATTAATCTAACAATTTTTCAGTTTCTGCATTCAATTTAAACGGTAACATTGATGAAATGATGCAGATTACAAATTAAATTCTCTCAAATCACATAGTTAACATTCAAATGAATAAAGGCATATTTAAGAAATATGAAGTAGCAATAAATGTCAGGAGTGTCCAGAAGAGAGTTTCATGGCACATGTTGCACCATCGAAAGTTTTGAGGGGGGCATATTTTGACAGGGTTTTGAATTTTTGAGGGGCCATATTTCGAATCGGTTATGAATTTTTGAAATGAAAACATTCAAACCAGGAGAATAGGAGAAAACATGGAGCAATCCATATCAAGTGTAATTAATTGTATTTGATCTACGATTTTTCTTATTCTACTATCTTTTGCACTTTTTTAAAAAGAGCAACCAATAAAATGTCTTGGGAGGAGGGTAGGATTCATGCCCCATCAACCTTGGTGGGGATGAGCATCCTTCTTGATGAGTGTTCAGTTCAGTAGATAGATTTGTTAACATGTTGAAAGGTTAGAAAGTAACAAGAATTTTAGAAACTTTAGGGTTTTATTTTAGTATTTTCCAATAATTGTCTTTATTTTGTCAGGATGATTAATAGGATTTACATTGTTCTATTCAGTTTACCGATGTTTCAATCCAAGCATGTGGATGATCGTCAGGGCTAAAAATTACAGACACGTAAAAGATATATACTAAATTATATACAAGAAAAAAATATGACAATACACATATGGTAATGACATAAATATAATAGTAAACCAAGAGAAAAGGAACAAAAAGAAAAATTAAAAAGTACAAATAGATAAAATAAATAAATAAGAAGTATATATAAAAAAATTAGAGCTAATAAGCGTTATATATTTGTTCTTTTATTTTTATCCACCATTTTTTTTTTAATTCTCTTCCTCTTACAATTCACCATACTCCCTCCTTATCCTCATTTAAAACTCTTTTTCCGGTTCCTCTTCACAACTCCATCAGACCTGGATTAAATATTTATTATATAACAAGGTTTTATTTTTCTTAATACATTTTTTTTGTTTTATAATAAATATTAATATGTATTTCATATTACTTTATAAAAAGCCACAGGGGAGTGGGGTAGCTCAGAGGTAGGGCACTATGTATCCCAAGATATATATAACAATGTATATACATTGGTATTTATTTTATTTTCTAATTATGTAATTGGTCTTTTAAGCAAAATTGGTCATCGTTTTTTCTTTTTTTTTATTGTTATTCTTAAGGAACTTGTTCCTAGAATAAAGTTGATTTTTCTATTCTATTCTACATTAAGTGAATTAAGTAATTTTTTAAATATAAAAAGAAATGTGAATAGAGGGAATGAGGTATCCATCACTTAGCAGTAATTTAACAGAAAATATTAAAATAAAAGTTTATAAACTGTTCATAAATATTAAAATTATGTATTAAGGAAGATAAGATTTTTTTTCCTCTTGTTATAAAATTATATTTATATTACTATTTATCTTATATATATTGTTTACCCTTTCGTTTTGGCCTCTTTATGTATATTTATCTATATATTTTATTTCTAAGGTAAATTTTAATTTTCAGCCTAAATGATGACCCACATGGCTGGGTCAAAACATCGCCAAACTGAATAAAACAAATCTAGACTTAAAATCATTACTATTTATCACCCTGATAATTATTAAAAAAGACAGCCTGACAACAAAACTATCCATCTCTAAGTTATCGTTAATATGATCATATTCTTATTTGATAGATATGCATAAAAATAATTTAATAGTTTATATTATATTACCTGCCCTGTAAATTTAATTTTAATCCTTTCTATTACTCTAGATTTATTAAATATATCAGCATATTCTTATTAATAATGTGAAAAAAAAAATACAGATATCTATTTGGAACAGATTTACCAATGACTTTTTTTATTTTAGAATTGGGAAGCTGAGAAGCAAACATCTCATACCACCCAAACAGTAGCGGTAGCTCCAGCGATTCCCGTCACCAAGTGGGAATTCTCCAGAGACAAGCTGAGACTCCAGACAGTCCTCGGTCAAGGAAACTTTGGACAGGTCAGTTTTTTTTTTTTGTTTTTTTAAATTCATTTTTATCTGAGAACATCTAACTTGGAATCCTCATACTAGACTGAAACAACAAGAAACAGCTCGAGGTTTCCGACTACTTCAACACTTACTAGACAAATGCTCTAACCTTCCAATTAATTACAGAAGACTCATTTACATGACTATAATAAGGCCTATTTGGACTTACGGAGTTGAGCTATGGGGCTCCACCGAACCTTCAAATTCCTCTCGTATCCAATCCTTACAATCCAAAATCCTTCGTAAAATCCTCAATGCTCCTTACTTTTGTTACAAATAAAATCATCCATAATGACCTTAATGTTCCTTATGTATCAGATTTGGCCCAATCCAGATATCTTTCCTTCCATAATAAACTTCATAACCATCCCAACCCTCTTGTTTCTAACCTTGCTTCCTATTCAATTCCTGATAACCCTCCGAGGCGTCTCAAAAGAAGATGGCCATGTGATCTCCTAATATAGACATATTATTAGAGTGCTACCAATGGGTAGTTTCTCAACATGTGTTTCATGTCATTATATCCATGTACGAATTCACTAGTTGTATTTTTTGTATACAGTTGTAAATATCATATAAATAAATAAATTTTAAAAAAAATATATGGAATAAAAAATGAAAAAATAGTGTTTTTTGGTTAATTTCAGGTACCAGTAGGTGAAACTGATCTCATAATATTATAATATTTTTTCTCAACTATTCTCCTCACAAAATAAACATGACATTAAAAACCCAGAATATTCTTCATTAAATATTTTTGATTATGTTATAAAAAAAATATTTTGTATCTTTATCCATTTATCTTTATTATTAAGAAATATTTCAGTATATATATATATTAAATTCTACCACTATGCCCCACAATTCCATATGCATTAAATATAATTTATTCAAGCGTGTTTCAAATGTATGATGCATTAGTGGATTCCTCTCGGCTGAAGCCACTCCACTCTCCCTTCCCCAAAAAAATTCTGTATAAAACAAACATTTTATTTTTTCTTTCGTCATAAGACATTTTCGATACTTGGCAACTTTATTTTTATGTTCTAAGCTTATCCAACTACCTGAAAGGCATTATGCATTGATAATTCTTTGGTTTGTTAAAAGTTAATTTTTCTCAAAGGTTTGGAAAGCTGAGGCTGACGACTTAAGCGGACATGAAGGATCAACCCGTTTAGTCGCCGTGAAGACGGTGAAAGAAGGAGCCAGCTTGCGAGAGAAAGAAGATCTCCTCAGAGAGTTAGGGATCATGCAAGAGCTCGGTGCTCACCCGAACGTTGTCACTCTCTTAGGCTGTTGCACCGACAAAGGTCAGTTAACTGAAAAATATTTTAATGGTTATAGATTAATGTATCATGGCTTTGGTTTGGCTCTAACTGCATTCGCTATTATTTCGAGAAGATTCAAAGTTAAAATTTACTGCAGTATGAATATTTTGTTACTCAGACTAGCAATTTCGTTCGTACAATACCTTGAAGCAGTGAACTTGATTATGTAATCATCGATGACATAATTGTACCACTTATTAATATTATTTTGGCAATTGTTAACACTTTTTCATTCCAGAATGCATTTTTGTGACGAGACAAGGTTCTAAGTACAGATACTAAAATTTGAAGTTTTATATTTCTTGGTGTGTAGAAAGAATTGAAAAGCCTAATTAAATAAAAATATGTTGTAGTTGTTTTTTTTTTAACAATTTGATATATTAAATTATATTAGCCTTTTTATGTTGAATAATATAAAGGTTATTTATTTCATAAGCAATATTCTACTGTAAAATCATTACCCATGTAGTTATAATTAAAGAAAAAATTTAAAAAAGGCAGGCACATGTCTTTTTACAGAAACAACATCAGAGTAATAGTTTCAAAATAAAAATTTCTGGTCATCTAATAATATATACATAGCTAAAAAAAAAAAAATAAAACCTGTATCACTACAACCCATGAAGGTCTTGGGCTCAGTAATATTTAGGAAAAGTATTGCTTCTTAGTCAATCGTGCAAGGAGATGATTTGACTGAGATCACGCTCAATCTCCAGGTTTTTCCCTCGACTAATTATTTTAATTAAGAATACCCACTCTATAGAGGCTGGGTGTGCCCCAGGAGGGTCTCTCCATCCCAAGGTCCCTCCACGGCTGATGAAACAGAATAAATAATTTTCCTGCCGTGAGCTAGGATTCAAATCCAGGACCTCAAGCATTGGAAGATCAGTGTATATGCATTGCTAAAACCAACATAAATAATACAAAATTTGTTTATTTACATAATATATATCTTTTATCTTCTAGAATATTAGTATAATATATTTTTTCACTGTTTTTTCTAAAAATTATGTAAATATCACATATGTCGTTTCTGAAATAACCGATTCAAATATTTCATACACAAAGAAAAGATCTTTACTAATGAAATAAATGATATAATTTCATCATGTTATTAAAATAACTACAAATCAAGTACAGTACAGCAGTTAGAACCTTCTCAAACCAATTACTTTCAAAAGTTGTCTGTAGTTAAAACTATTTCAGACTGCTAGTTTCTTTATTTTTCAACTGATGTCATTAAATTTAAATTGGAAAATAGATAACTTTTTTGTAAGTGATTTCTGAGTGAAAACTCAGTTTGTCCGAGTTTGTTAGTTAGAATCTTTTCAAACCAAGGCCACAATATGTGTTTGGATTCCACAAGTTTTATATATATATATATATATTTTTTTTTTTTTTTCAGAGCCATATCTTTTGATAATGGAGTATGTGATGTATGGAAAGTTGTTGGCGTTCCTGCGAGAACACCGAACACGAGCACATTACTTCAATTTTTCTGATTTATCTTCAGCACTTACCTCGCGGGATCTTACAGTCTTCGCTTATTGTGTAGCCAGGGGAATGGAATATCTTGTTACTAAAGGAGTAAGTGATTGTTTTCTTAAATTAATGTTCAAATATTTGAACACAATTTTGAACACAAAATTTAAAAATTAAACAGAACTGTGAAAATGGAAACCAATCCAATGCAATAATTATTTAGAGGTAATTTTCAATTTATAAGTTTTCAATAATTTAAACACAAAAGAAACATCTATTGGTTCAGGTGTCTTCAATGGAAAATCAAAACTGGATAATAATATTAGAAATAGAAAAAATTGTTTCTATTTTTAAAAAATAATAAAAATTACAAAACCACAATAAGGTTAATTTAATTTCTCTTCTACAACTTTATCTAAAATTTAAAAAAATAAAATAAAACAATAATTACAATAAACAACCTTATTTAGGTTTTATGTACATATATATATAGGTTGAGTACTTTGCACATTCAGGCATATTACACATTGTTTATAATTCTTTTCTTAATTTCTTATTTTTCAAAAAAAAGTCCATTCTTTTGCCTTTTGAAATGATGTGCAACAGTTTTACCATATTATTTTTTCGTGGATGTGAACAATTTAAAAAATGTTCCTTAAAATGTGATGCATGGCTTGACCCAGGGAAGTGTGCTTTAATTCGGCTTTTCAGTTTTCTTTCCAACTGCACGATACAGACGAACATTTTAAGGATCATCTTTTAAATTGTTCATACCCACAAAAAAGTAATAAGATAAAACTGTTACATACCATTTCAAAAAGGAAAAAAATGGACTTCTTTGAAAAATTAGAAATTAAGAAAAGAATTATAAAAAATTATGTAATATGCCTGAATGTGCAATGTTCTCAATTTAAGGATTCTGCCGTCATAAAATTAGTGTCAACTAATAAGGATAAGACTTGAGGGCAGGGATAGCCCATCTGGTTAAGAGTTTTATTTTTATTTTTAGTACTCATTTGACAAATAGTCGAGAAGGACCACCATAAGTTAGATGATTACCATTTTCCATTAAATAATTTATTAAGATTGGATTTTAAATTAGTAAATTAAGTTTTATTACTAATTGATTGCTTTGTAACAAATTTTTTATTGTTGTTGTTAATTTTATTATTTATTATTTTACTTAGCCTGATGAAGGTCTGATAAAAGTTCAAAAACGGTTGCGTGGACAGGGAAAAATAAAGAATTATACAGGAAGACGTCTTTTTTATTGAATTTTAATAATATTCAATTACTAACTTTTTATGATATGTTTTTTCTTATTTTTTTTACATTTTAATTAAATCAAGATTTTAGGCAAAATTTATTTATTTATTATTCAAAAAATTATTATGCACCCAAAAAATAAAAAATTATTTTATAATTTCTATTTATCTTGTTTTGTGTGTAAAAAAACTATTTAACATTTCTTGATCTGCTCTATATTCATATATTTCACTGACAAAAAGAAAAGCTTTATTTTGTCCGCATGAAATTGACATACCCACATATATTGAAGAGAAGAATAGTTGGGGTGGTCAGTCAAAAAAGAAGGCAAAAGAAGGCCTTCTTTTTTGACTGACCACCCCAACTATTCTTCTCTTCATTATCCACGACAGTCAACCATTTACCAATTATGAACCCACATATATTATTACAGTAAGGCTCGAAATCGGTTTTGTACCAAATATAAGCTCCTGTCATGCTCAAATACCATGAATGGGGTACTGTTGGATTCAGAATTTCACGGGGGGTTAGCGAATCGTATTATCCGCTGTTGTTTTTCTTTCTAAAATAAATAAAGCCGATACAAACATTTTGCTAGGCTTCAATAGCTGAACGGTGGTAGGTCTGTAGATCGATGCGGGACAAATTGGACCTTGAAGATTTTGATGCGTACAGCAAGACCCGGATAGTTCCCGGACTATGGATCTGCGTTTTTAAGCCCAAAAACGTACTATTTTCGAGATAACGCAAGGCATGGGGTTGGCATCCACACAACCTGACGTTAATTGTAGTACTGTCATTGGATACATGTCTCATTTCGTCGACTTGAGGTCTCTATGATCGAGATAGGAGGAGTTTATATTATTTATCGATGGTGTTTTTGATCGGCAAGCCATATCATCGTTAATTCTTCACCAAATCTCAAGATTGAGCCACCAATTTCGAAGGCTTCCTTCTCCTTCAGGCAGGCAAAATAGTCCAATCACCCGAAAATTCAGGCAAACAAGTTATGAAAGAAAAGAAACTTTATTTGCGAATAACTAAATATGTTGGTTCCAAACAAAAATGAAGATTTAAATTAATTTTGTTTCCTTTGTCGATTATATTTATCGATAAAGTAACAATTGATTACTTTATCTTTTGAAACATTGCATTATTTTATTTTATTATTAATTTGGCATTTGATAACAATATGCTGTGCGAATTTTTCGCAGAGGTCTACTAGTGTAGAAATTATATGAATAAAAGTGGACAGGTGGTGTAAATGTGTGCGATAAATATATTTAAAAATGGCAAAAAAGTCAGAAATGTTATAATAAAGTTTTTATGTATATTATAATGTTTCAAATGCAATATAAAATATTGTGAGAAAAATAAGTGTTTTATTAAAAACGTAATTATATATAGATTAAATATAACAAAACAATAGTGTTTATAGTTCTTTTTTTTTTAATTACTATTTGAGTGTTCCTGGGATGCTTTGTTCCAACTCTTCAGTATATAACTTATTATGCACCAGTATTCTTGGGGAAACCTAGGTTTGGACAGTGACTAACCATGAAGAAACTTAAGACATATTATACATTAAGAAGAGGATGAAATGTTCAAATAGCAATTTAAAAAAAAAATGCTAACTTTTTTTTTTTAATAGATCGTTGGGAAAAAAGTTGTGGAGGAGAAATAAAATATAATGAAGAAAGGTCAATAATATAAACTAAGCAAATAAATTTAACTTTTGGTCAGTCTTTTAATATAACAATATTTTGTAGTGGATAAAATATATAATAAATTTACGTTTGTGATAGAAAAGTAAATATATTTATTTGAAAGTTTATAGACATTCCAAGGTCATTAACTTAGACATGAGTGCAAACGTGGATTGGTTCTCTCAGCTGTTAAATACTGTTCAATTTTTAATTGCAATATCAACATTAACAGCTGACAAGCTATGTATCATAAATAAAAATGATCTTCAATTTTTTTTAAAGGTGTGTTTAGACATTTCACAAACTATGGGAACCACAAATATTTAAATGGTTGTTTCCCTTTGTTGTTGTTTTTATCTCTTCTTTTTGATGTTTTTCTTCTACTGTCGGTTTCGAGAGAAATAAAAAAAAAGTTGAGCTTAGCGATAATTTTGCTATTAGTTAAATTAGATAAATTTGTTTACCGTAGCTTTTAAAATGTCTAAACACAACTTAAAATGTAAATTTACGGGGAAATGGATAATACAGACAGGTAGTCTAGACCAGACTTAGCAGTATTTCAAACAAATTATTTTAAAATACAAAATAAAATACATTTTTAGTATATTGTATTTTAAGAAATAAAATATGAATAAGTGTTAGTATTTTATTTCCAAGATACTAAACTACAAAAACTGTATTTTATTTTGTATTTCAAATATAGAAAATAAATTCCCAAAATAGATTATATGCTGATTATTAGGAAGTATTTTTTTTTTCATTAAAATACAAAATACTTTTAGTTTTTTGTATTTTAAATAAATTTTCTAAAATCAATTTAAATACTTTGTAATTAAACTGTATTTTTAAAAAAAAAACTACGTGATATTTTAGAGTAATAATTAAAATTAATTTTTCCCCAGGTCTGGTCTGGAGTATTATTATTAGTTTTTTTATTTACAGTTATTTTTTTAATTAATATTAAAACTTTAATATATTTTCTTTTATATTACAGATAATTCATAGAGACTTGGCAGCTAGAAATATTTTGGTAGACCACACAAAGCTGTGCAAGATCGCTGATTTTGGTATGTCAAGAAATGTTCGTGATACTGGGCAGATATATGAACAAAGGCCAAACAGAGTATGTAATAAATTTCATCTAATACTTTATTTCTGTATTTCAATTTATTTAATTATTTTTTACTGTGTACCCTATTTTGAGATTATAATAATCAATTCAATATTTTATTTTTATAATTAATACAACATAATAACTAATTGTTTACAACCTTTGCTAAGCTTTTTAGCAAGATTACAATCTTGATTCTGTTTTTTATTTTTGGTGTTTTTATTTTGAAGAAATAACACAGTACTGTAAAATAAAATAAGGCATAAATAAATTGCTTTTTATATAATTTTGTTTTTTAAATAAATTTTAATCTGAGCAAATGAGCAAAAAACAAAAATATAAAATTACATATACATTAAAATTTAATTTTTCTTACACTAATGATAATTGTTATTTTGCTTAGGGCGCACTTCCAATCAGGTGGATGGCTCCAGAATCACTCCATTTAAGTTTATTCACTCATAAATCAGATGTATGGAGTTTTGGAATATTGATGTGGGAAATAGTCACTCTAGGTATGTTATTTTTACTGTATTTTTTCTGTAATTTAACAAAGTAAATTTCTGATAATAATTGACTGTAGAAGATATTTGGATAGAAGTTGTTTGATGTCTTCAGTCAATGAAGGTATAAATTGAAAATAAATATTATTTATTCATTTTTAATTTGTCATTTGATTGGCTGAATTATATTTATTTATTTTTACTTTGTTCTTTCATTGGCTGTGAAACACAACCAACTTCTGCCCAAAAGTAAAGTAAATTAATTTTGAAGAGAAGGATGGTTGAGGTTATAAGTCAAAATAAAAAATAGTAAAAATAAATAATTATATTTATTTTTATTTTATATTTTGGCAATTCCAATACTGTCATCAACACATATGCCTATGACAAATGTATCCTATCAGTTAATAACGACCCATCGATTGCATCCCAAACCCTTCAATCACACATCACAAACCTTGAAGAACGGTGACAAAACTGGAGAATTAAAATAAATTCCAATAAATCCCACCAAATTACCTTTAACAACACTTCACTTATTCCTGTTGAACAAATCCGTTACCTAGGACTACACCTGGACAAACGTCTAACTTGGAATCCTCATACCAGACTGAAACGACAAGAAACCGCTCGACGTTTCCGTCTACTTCAACACTTACTAGACAAATGCTCTAACCTTCCAATTAATTACAAAAGACTCATAGACATGACTATAATAAGGCCTATTTGAACTTTCAGAGTTGAGCTATCAAACCTTCAAATTCCTCTAGTATCCAATCCTTACCATCCAAAATCCTTCGTAAAATCCTCAATGCTCCTTACTTTGTTACAAATAAAATCATCCACAATGACCTTAATGTTCCTTATGTTTCAGATTTGGCCCAATCCAGATATCTATCCATAATAAACGTCTAACCCTCTTGTTTCTAACCTTGCTTCCTATTCAACTCATGATAACTCTCTGAGGCATCTGAAAAGAAGATGGCCTCGTGATCTCCTAATATATACATATTATTAGAGGGCTACCAATGGGTGGTTTCTCAACATGTGTTTCATGTCATTATATCCATGTACAAATTTACTAGATGTATTTTATTTCATACAGTTGTAAATATCATATAAATAATAATAGAAAAAATATATATATATTGGCAAATATAAAAATAAATATAATTATTTATTTTGACTGATGATCCTTCTCTTCAATTATTCACTACAGTCAACCATCAATCCGCAATTATAAATTAACTTTGGCCTTAAGGTACTTGTGAGTTATACTGATACTGATAATATCTACCTTCTTATTTATATTTATGGAAATTGAAATAGATAAAAAGAAATTTAATAATAACAATACACATTTATTTATTTTGGGGGAAAAATAGCTTAATGCTATTTAAAATATCTTTTTTTCTTACTCCACTTAGTTGGGTCCCAGAATTGTTCTATGTGTTGAGTGTGGATCCCACTTGAACCATCCACAAAGTTATACCGATGATTCATGATTCACCTGGAAATGGTTGTTGTTTGCTTCATTCAGTTGTTGAGTGTTATATCCGATCCAACAGTCAGATTATATAGTAATTCTCTCTTCTTTATTATTTTTAATACCTTCTAATAGAGATGTTGCTTTTTTGTCTTTTATTTTTACAATGAAACACTCGTCTGTTTCCTGATAAACTATGCCAAACATCCATTGTTCAGAGAGCACTCTCCCTACATGATTTTTTCTTTTAGACAAAAACTTTTTAATCTGTTTCAAACACTTTTCCAGGCCTTCCAATTTTTTTAGTTGACCTATATAATATATAATATAGTCTTATTCCGAAGTAATTACCAAAGTGTCATTATGTTCATTTTAAATAGAAAATTACAAAATTAACAAGAAAAAAAGCAAACAAACCTGAAAACAATTGAATAACGAGAAGAACGCAAAAGTAACTAAGCAGAGACAAATGATAAGAAGAAGTTACAAAGAAAGTAGGTTCCGTGGCAGCCGGCTAAGTCACAAGTATCCAATCGACCTTCGGAATGTTCTATGAGATTGATCTATAAAAGTTGAATTGTTTTTAATCATTAATTAATTTATAATTTTGTCAGTATTATTGGTATTGACACTGGAACTGATAATATCTTCTTTATAGTCCTAAAAACTAATAAAATTGACATTTTTACAATAATAATAAAAAATACTTGATCCACAGCCCTACTTTATTTACTTTTCTTTTCGTCCAATGTTTCACTCCTTTAGAACATTTTCAAGGGAACAAACCTTATTTTATTGGTTTATTGATATGCGCAACTGTCCTCAGAAACAAGCTTCCACCTGAAGCTCTATCCACAGCTGTTCTACTCCATCTTCTTACACTCACTCTGCTGAGGTCATATTCTACATCATTGATCCACCACAGCTAGGGTGGTCTTCCCCTAATACGTGCTCCTCCTCCTGGGCAGCTATAAAGAAGTTTCCTTAGCAACCCATCTTCCTCCACGCTCTCTAGATGGCCTAGCTATCTGAGGCAGTGCCTTTTGACTGTGACTACAATGTGGTCACTATTATAGAGCTTGTATAACTCATTATTTTTTCTTATTCTCCATCGATCGTATATTCCTTTGGACTGTATATTTTTCTTAAGGCAAAACCTTACTTTATAATATTAAAATGAAATCATTTGGGATAATTTATACATTATAAGACAAAAGCATGTGACAAGGGAAAATAAGCCCAAATTATTTTATTTTTATTTTATAAGGTAAGGTTTTTTCCTTTGAAAAGGGCCTAAAGGGCTGAAACGTTGGACGTAGAGGGAAAAAAATAAAGTAGGACTGATGATCAAATGTTTTATCTTTATTAATAAGATTGAAGTTTTAACCTACAATATTGAAATATATATATATATATATATATATATATTAATTGACATTTTTTTCATAATTTAATTATTTTTATAGGTTCTACCCCATACAACAAAATGGGTGGTAGGGAAGTAATGCGACAAGTGATGGACGGATACAGACTTGAAAAACCAAAACATTGTCGTACGGAGCTTTACAAAGTGCTCACTAAATGCTGGCACAATGATCCAGGAAAGAGGCCATCCTTCACAGAACTCAAACAGGAGTTGGCAGCCCTGCTTGCTGACGAGGAGACTAATGGAGAATTTGTTGATCTGGAAGCGCTGACAGAAGAAATGTGCGATCAAAATAACTGAAATAACTTATCCCTAGCTTCTAGGGAACGTAGACTGTTCTTCAAAATACAAAAACAAAGATTAAGTGTCTGTCATTCTTTCATGTTTAAACTTTCATTTTGTATTTTATGAATATTATGTTGAAAAAATGTTATATTTAAATTATTTTTCAGATTTGTACATAGAGTTAGATATTGTAATCATTGATATGATTTTCAATTGAAATATTCAGAAAGAAAAAAAATATGTCCTTGCTTAAAAAAAAATAATAATTTGATATAAAGTTGTTAAATCTAAATAGTGGTATTATAAAAGAACAAAAATATTTTATTCATCTAAATATATTATTCATTTTATTATATTGATCATCACTCTTTACAAATGAATATATTTGAGAGTTCATAATATCAATTAAAAATTTATTTATTTATTTCAATGTAAGCTATAATTTTTCAATTCTTTCGATTTTGTATACTTTTTGATTTAGTAAAATGACTGAATGCTGTTATTACAATACTTTTTTATTAAATTTATTTAGAGAAAAATATTTCATTTTTTGTTTTAAAGGTTTATTTTTCAAGTTTCCAAAGATTAGTATAATCTTTTTTTTAAAAATATTTTTATTGAGTTCAATGAAGAAAAAAAAATTGTAAATTAAAAAATTATATTTTGTAGATATGATAATGGAGGCCTGTAAATAATAATTATATTTAGCGATAAGAAGAGTTGTATTTTTTGAATTTGTATATATACAAGAATTATTTTTAAAATTATTAATTTTTTATCTATGTATGTTAAAGGAACACTAGTTGCATTGGTTAATTTAACACTATGATTGATGTATTTTCTAGTCTATCTGTTTATTTTTGTTTTATTTTTTAATAAAAATAAAGCTTAAAATATTGCAAACAGTATTCGTATAACATACATATCATATGTGACATTGTTTCCTTCTAATAAATGTACATTTTCATAAATTTTATTTTCTCTTATTGTGTCTTCTTCCTATATATTATAATATCATAAAAATTTAATTATTATATCTTAATGTTTTGCTATTTTATGTTGTTTATAATTAACAGGTGGTTATCCAATACCACGCAACAAAAGCTTCAATTCACCAACATTTTGAAGTTAATTATTTTGGTTAAAAATGGAAGTATAAACATTAGGTATATCTACTTACATGACATTGCTAATCACTTACGGAGCATATAACAATACAAAAATTGTTTGCTCCATTTTTTTTAATATTGGTCCGATCAACAATTAATTATTAATTTAGATATATTTTAATATCTACATTTTATTTTAATGTTTAGTTTAGCAGAAAATTTAATAATATTTCAAAAATCCATTAGGAATGTTCAAGGTGATGTTTGGTTCAACATTTAGGTTAAATTTCTATACATTATTTCTAAAAGATGTTTTCTTGTCGTCATGTCATATCTTCGTTAATTCCACATCAAAACCAATGATTGAATCATCATTTTGAAGATTATCTTCTTCTCCAGGAGGGATAAGTAGTCACATCCCAAAATTTAAGGAAAATATATTATGAAGAAAAAGGAATTTTATTTGGGCATGACTCAAAAAGTATACAATTTATACTTGTAATTAAGGGAATAGTATAATATTTCCTGATTACACACATGATTATTTCAAAGGTTACTAAATTCTCTGAAAAAAAAAAATCTAAATCAGCCAAATATTGGCAAAGATATAGCCTAGTGTAATTTGTACATGTGTTTTGTTTTTTTATTATAAAAGAATGATTGTAATGGACCAAGATTTAGTGTTATCAATAAATAAAAATATTAAATAGCATGTGAATAAAAATATAAATAGTAGTTTGTTCAAAACGGCTTATCTCCGAAAGTTCTTCACCGATTTTTTTAAAATTTTGACACAACGTCGCAATAATATTTAGAAATTTTTTTTGTATATGTTTCACTATCATCGGGCCTTTCCTTTTGAAATGGCGGCCGAAAAACGTGATTCGCTTTACAATGTAGCGCCAATATGGCTTCAATGATTTCAATGAAACTTGGCTGAAGTCTTCCCCTTGAAACCTTTATAATTTATGTATATAACATACTTTCCCAAAAATAAGCTGCATACATTTTTATAATGAATTCAGTATTTTATTTGCGAATAACTCAAAAAGTACACATTTTTTTACTGATAATACCGATATTTATTTAAAAGCTTTCTTGATTTCCTACAAAATGATAAAAAAAAAAAGACTGTCGAAATCTAAAAGAATCAACTCCGAAATGAAACAATTTGTAACGGCCAAAGGAGCGAAATGGGTTCAAATATTTTTTTTTAATGAGGAATGGAGTTGAGATTCTTCTTTCGCATCTTGACAAACCCTCAAATACGAATTTTCATTGCAATCCAAAAATAGAAATTTTTATCTCAAATTTTCGTCAAGGCAGGAGCCTTCAATTTTTTTTAAAAAATCACAAAAGTGGTCATAACTTCCATACGGCTCAAGATATCTTAATGAAAAATTCATGCATTCATACGTTTTCTTTCCCTTCCAAATTCGATTTATTTTATTTGGTTTTTTGATAATTCGAAAACTTATCATTTTCTGATGTAATTGGGTCTATTATTTGAAGAGATGATATCATGTAATGTTAGCTGAATGATACATAATAGATTAAATTTAAAAATATATTCTATAGTTATACTCATTATTAACTTAAATATTGCACAAGCATTAGTTAATGGAACAGGAATGAGACTGAAGTATTAACGGTGGCTACTTTAAATTAAAGAATTTTAATTCCAAGAATTAATTTAACTTTTTCTAACACTATACTTACATTCGACTTTCAAAGAACAAGGTTCCTATTAATAGCTGCATTTGCTATGACCATAATCAAATCGGAGGATAAAAGTTTTGGAAAAATGTGTATATTATTGTGACGTCCAGTAATTTTGCATGGACAATTATATGTGGCAGCAATTAGAGCACGTTCATTTAAAATATTGAAATTTATACTTTCAATGGGAATGGGCATGGCTATGCACTAAATAATAGAACATTCAAAAAGAACATTTTTTACATAGAAGTTCTGAATAAAAATACATTTAAAGTAAATTTAAATTTGCTAATTTAAATTTATTTATTACTTGCTTAATCATAGCATTAATTTATTGTGATAATAACACACATAAATTAAAATTAAAATTAAATATTTTTGAATGGGTATATTTTGTATTATAAATAATTTTAAAATACTTAAGCTTGATTTTTAATTGATATTGAAATTTTGTTTGTATTAATAAATGAGGATTTTCGAATCATGATTTACTCTTTATTTATTTACTTTATTTTTTTAATTAATTATATCTTTTCCTCAAATTTTTAATGACTATGGTCGAATTTCGACCACTGGGCGAACACTAGTATAAATAAATAGACAAAAACATAATAAATAAGGGCAGTTTTTCTTTGGCAGATGCTATGAATATAAGAGCTTCTAGGTTTTACACCTCTCTTTATAAAGTTGAGCTGGCTCGGAATACGCATCTCCATGTCCTACCATTCCTTGCGGGCATTCGCTTTATGCAGACGTAAGAGATCTGATATGGAAAGTAGGACCCTACGATAACCCGGAGGAGTGCCTCTTTTGTTGCTTTATCAACAATTTCATTCTCCTCAGTTCCAAAATGTCCAAGTACTCATAAGGAATCAATAGATGTTTGATATTAGAATTGTTCCAGAAACTTAAGAAAAGAAAAGATGTTTTGACGTGAACTTGTGCAGAATATTTTAATACTTTGAAGCAAAGTTCCATAAAATCATCCTATCAAAAAGATAAGACAAAATCTTTCCTACCGCACCAGAGATAAACTTTTGAAACCTGCATATAAAAAATTTGACCCATTACAATTCTTTCCTTAGCTAGAGGTAAATATTGTATAGGAAAACATATTAGTTTGGTTTAGGATTTAGAGTAAGATTATGAGGCATGGAAATGATTTTTTTTTCTAGGGTGTCAGGAAACCTAAAGCAATCCCTGATTTCAAGTGAAGTGAAACTGACTGATTTTGCAATATTTAAGATATCTGAAAACAATGACTAAGCAAACAAAAGATGTTAACCTAAGAAGACATCATCATTTATAGATCTTTAATTTAAAAAAAAAAATCTATATAGAATGTTTTCTGGGTGAATCTTCCATGTAAATAAGTAGGAAAATCATTAGAGAAAATCAAAAATTATAATTAAAAGTAATATTAATTATAATATTGACCATCCAGAATAAAGAATTTAAATATAAAAAGATAGAAAATTAACTTGGAGTATGCACAGGTGTGAGGTGCTATCCAGCAGTCTTAAACTTAGAATACCCCATCACATGTTTACAATGGCGATATTTACACTATTGTTATCCATTAACGATCATTTCTATTACTCTGTTTCAACTTTGCTTTTCATGATAGTTGTGATATAGTTTCTCTCCACAAAATTAAAATACGTTAAATGTTTTTTTATTTAAGTTTTTGATAAACTTTCTTTCCAAGTTGGTACAATAAATATTTTAGAAACACTCCTTATATATATATATATATATATATATATATATATATATATATATATATATATATATATATTTTTTTTTTTTTTTTCTTTCTAAATCAATTAAGAGTAGCCACTGTATAGAAGCTGAATGTGCCCAAGGAGAGCCATGAGATCCATGATTCCATCCAGCTAACAGAATAATTATCACAGTCAGTCTCGAACGAGAAGAGTAGGACAGCGCATTACTCAATAAACTATCTCACTTCCCAAAAATAAATTATAATTTTTATAATACTTATTGTCTTTACAAGGATCTATTGAAACCTTTTTTTTTTTTTAAATTAATTTAGTAAATTTCCTTTAACAAATGTATACTACAAAAAACTAATTATTTAAAAAAAGAACTGTGGACAAATGATTATCTTCTGAAATAATACATAACTACAATACTAGACAAAAATTAAATTATATTTTTTTAAATTTTAACTAAATACATGACCATAAAACATATATTTTAGATTGGCAAAGAAACAAAAGAACCAGAAAGACATATGATTCATTAATGGAAATTTAATGAATTGATTATTTAAAAAAAAAAATTATTTAATTAAAATTATGGTAAAACATTTTGTTTTAAAAAAGTGAAACATTTACTATAACGCTCCTCATAAATTAAAGGAAATATTTAACAACCTAGTAGCCAAATGATAATTCTGTAAGAAAGTATACCCATATGACGATAAGTATTAGGGTAACTTCTTACTTTATTGAATAGGTTCAAAGATATTTTCATCTCATATTGTATGTTTTATTTGAAATTACAAATAGGTATTATTTAAATAAATAAGAAAAATAATCAAGTAACAAAATATAGAACAACGCCTTTAAATGAAATTGATTTATTATCACAAATGAATACTTATGTAATAATGAAACAAAACTGACCTCAACACCTCAAGAAACTAGAAGATAAATATAATTTAATGTAGCTCCATGAGACACTTCAACAGACTCCGTAATCTTAATATATTGAGTGTTTACTGATTTTGAGTATGATGATTGAAAGAGACATACTAAATAGCTTAAGTACAACACTGTGGAAAAGGCACAATTCCCAACAAGAATATTCAAAATGACATTTTATATTAACTATATTAGGTACATACAGAAAGGTGTATTGAAAATGACAAGACGTATATATTCAAATCATAAAAAATGACCTATAAATACAACTTAATTTTAAAATATTACAATGTTCAACAAATATATGGTTACAAATGAAAAAAAAATCTTAATAGAGTGAAATATTTTATCTTTGACATTAAATAAAAATTACATTTTTAAAAGAAAATAAAAAAAATGTATGTTCTTTTAAACAAACACCTATGGGGAGAACTTTAATCAGAAGTTGTAACAGATTTTCACTGAAAAATTAAATTAAATGTTTACTTTTATATTTTTAGGGTAAACATCCCACAGAGCATAAAACTCTGCAACATTAATTCGAAAAAAAGATTGTGACCAAATACCATCCAAAGAGCCAATTAATAACAAACATTTGTTTGGTCAAATATCTTCTAACACTGCTATCAACACCAGTACAACTTATAAAGTTGTCTATGAAAAAAGTTTTATATTTGTAATGAATGTTAAGCACGCGATACAGTATATTCACTGGGAAACTGAAATATATGATGTCCAGTCGCTCCAATATTCGGTAGCAATCCTGAATTTGGAATAATATTGTAAGAAAGTGTTAATGTGACATGGGAGTTATTTCGAAGACCATTTCCATCATCCCAGAAATAATACTTAGAATTCATACTCTTGAAATCCAGAATGGCATTTTCACCTCGTAATATGATCTTATCCCAGAGAACAACCTGACTAAGGGAATTCTTTTCAGAAGCATACTCTGCTGTAAGATACAAAAACAGCTGTTTGACATTCCAGTTGAAAACATTGGTAAGGTTGGCTTGTAGATCAAATGTTAAGAATCCCAGGTCACATTTCTCTCTAGAAGCACTGTAATCAGGTACATTTTTAACCACAACTTTAACAGTATTTATCGCAGCACTGCTTCTGTAGTCAACAAACAGAGTCGACAAAAAACACATGAATGTAAGGCAAGCCAAAAGGCTTAAAGTGTATGCAACCAGTGCATTCCCTCTGCTTAGTAGAGAATGCATTTCTTGATATTCTACAGCTTCACTTCATACACTAATCCCAGTTAGCAGCAAAAACTATTTCACTTTAAAAGTTACTCAAAACCTAAAAATTAATTAAAAATTAGGACATACTCATTAAATAGGCATAGCAATATTATTAGGTATCTATAATATTTACTAACTTTAGCATGGATATCTCTTCCAAAGAAATAGCATAGAACACTCTTATGAGAAATTTATATCTGGAGATTAAACATAAGTTGTGGCAGAAGGCCGGTAAGGTTAGTTCAACCAGGCTATACTATCGATATGAACGATATAAAAATCAATTCCTCTAAGAATGCGATATAAAGGATTAAACAAAACGTTTCAAGTACAAAAAATTAGGAAATAAAATGTTCAATAAAACTTAACAAAAAATAAAACTCACTATGCAACTAAATATGAATAAAGAATGTTCTTAATTTTGAGTAAGATATCGATTAGTTATTTGTTTAGTTCTGATAAAGACACGTAGCCTGTTCCCATTGACGTTGGAAGTTTTTAAATTTTACTAAATTGGAAACGACTCTCATATTTAACTTTTGCCACTTACTGCAAGTTAATTAAATGATTGTATGTCAACAGGTTTTTGACTTTACATTTATATTATAAAGGATATTGTTATGTATCATCATAAGCATAATCATTTTATCAAAACCTCAGGTTAGTCATAAATCCAATCTATGAAATAAAAATATGGCAAGTAACTAAAATCAGTGTTGAGTTCATCGTTGGCATTGGTTCGTCCAGTGTAGAGACCGAGCGAATGCAATCTATGGCCTCAACGCTGAATTTAGAAACTTGCTCATACAGTCTATAATGAAAATTTCAGGCTGAAGCTCCCTCCCCTCCTCCCAAAATAGTGAAATTTAACCCTGTTTTATGGGGGGGAAAAGTATTATTGCTCGTGTAAATACATTTAATAGGGCTTAAACACCATTTCATATAGGTAGTTAGTATCTTTCTTTTTTTTTCCAGGTGTTTTCGTGATATGTATGAAAAACAAAAAAAAAAACAAAAAAAATTAAATCCTGGATCCTCAACCAACTCCAACAATGGGGTATACAGATCTATCTACTCTCGGGAACGATTTTACATTTGTCCATATACTGCTGTTGGATTTTCTGAGTTACTATCATTTAGTAATTTGTTCTGTTCGAACAAAGAGTCTTAGATAAGTCTCATAATAGTCTCAATACCCTCTTGATTTGACGCTGACGTAACCAGCTATTTCATTCGCATACTCTAGGAGAGGCGAATTTCGGCATGTTAGAGAGGCGAAAAGTGAAAAAATAGTATCGAAAACCAAATGATATTGAGTTTTATTGAATATATCGATTCAAAAATCGGATCTGCATACCGTAAGCCAGGGAAATGTTCAGCATATCATTCTATTTGTAATAAGCTATAATTAAAAGCTGTATTTTGACGCGAATTACAAATTACAAAAAACTTTTATAACTTCCATACGATTTTAGCTATATACAAGAAATTTAGGACCACATAAACTACACAAAATGATATCAACAGGACCTTCGTAAACAAATTACAAATGGAGATAAAAAATAAAAACCTAAAAGAGCAATAATTCAGCTTTCCTACGGATATAGTCATTTCGAATTAGGAGAACATCCTGAAGAGTTATGGCTAGGCCTCGCATCTCATTGGTCACTCGCAATAAATTATTGAGCCTTGAACTGGACCTTTTGACTTAACCTCCCTATTCACCAGACCTAGCTCCAAGTGACTACCACTTATTCCGGGCTCTGAAGAACTCCATGAATGGAAAAAAAATTCCAAAAATAAGAGGACATCAAAAACCACGAGGATCAGTTTTTTTAACAATAAACTCCAGGTATTCTATGAACATGACATTATGCAGTTAGTGGAAAGATGGGAAAAAGTTAAGTTAAATAGAGGTCAATATATTGTAGATTGAAATAAATTTTATTTCTATAATACATTGAATTCGTAACAGAGAGTCAGAAAGAGAAAAACGACAGTGCCAAAATATCAAATAAGAATGACTGTTTTGAACATTTGTTAAATGACAAAACAAAGACTGTTTTGGACTAAAATATCTTAAAATTGTAATACCATGGCGATTTCAGAAACTGATTTGCGATATAGATATTTTTTTTAAATAACAATAAAAATAAGAAACAAGAACTTATGTGTTTCTACTTGATTTTCTGTTGCACTCGATATAGTTTCGACAACTTTCTGACTCCCTATGTAGAATTAACTTAAAACAATTACGGAGTTTTTGTTGGGTATTTAACAAATTGATTTCAATCAAAAGTATTCATTACATATTTTAGCTATAATAAACCTACAACATCATTTTTAGAGTGTGATACAAATCAGTCAGAAGAAAGCTTACTACAGTAATTTGTACACAATTATGATTATATACAGTTTGTCCCATAAGCAGAGGGAAATTTTTATAGGAGTGACAGCAGAACTAAAAAGCTATTAAAAAAGTTTATATAAACAATTGGCCAATTTTCAACACAAAAGTAGCAAATCCAAATTTTATGTTTTTTTTAAGTGATTCATGTTGTTTATTGAATTGAAAGCAATTACTAAAGAAATATTTCATTTAAGTAATTAATAATTGCTTCATTGTAAACAAGATGAATTGTACTTTAAATGAACATAGAATTTGTCATTGTTAAAACCATTTAAAGAGAACTTTTGAGCAGTAATTTCAATTTTTATTTTTTTTAAATTAAAATGTGTCATTAGGTAATTGGGTTTATTAAAATACATCTCAGAACATGGAAAAAAGCAAAAAAATAAAAGCTTTGCAACAATTAATAACTTAATAATTGTAAGTTTTGCTGAAAATAGAGGTACTTTTACTTGACAGTTTAAAAAATATCATTTTTTTACAAAATGAGCTGAATCTTAATGTTTTCCCTAACAAACCCAAACTTAATTAATACAAACTTAAAGCTTAGTAAATGGAGAAGTTTTTATAAACGTGGGTTAATTGTAGAATAGTTGAATGATGATAAAAATAATAAAATTGTGATTAATTTATCATTTTACTAAAAACAGAACTTGACATAGTTTAGCTGCTCCAAAGTCTTCTTTAAATGGTTTTAAATATGATAAACTCTATTTCCATAAAATATTGATATTAATACTAACTAGTCAAATCGTAGAATACCCGAGTTAATTATTGGGGGCACTTGAGATGGACCATCCAAGGGGAATAGTATAAGTCTCCTTACAAGAAGTTAAAAATAGTGAAATTATAATGATACACATGTACTTTATATTTTTTTCATTAATTCCTGTTTTACGCATTCTCTCAAATTAAAACCCTCCAAAAATATGGTATCTTCCGAAATTCAGAACCCTTGAAAAAATTTTCTCCCTCCATACTTCCAAAATTTTGATGGTGGAACACCATAGTATAATATTGAGTAAAAAGATGGTCTGGGGAGGCAGTCATAAAATAGTGGAAAAACTTGAGGCCTAAAATGAATTTTTTTTATTTGTGTTTATATCCCCCACCCTAGACCGTCTCCTTTCTTAATATAATATATGTATGTATATATATGTATATATATATATATATATATATATATATATATATATATATATATATATATATATATATATATATATATATATATATAATCCTTACAGCAAATATAACGGTATTCATCTGTTTTGTGTCGATTTCAAAGACTTATAATTCCATTTACCATCAGAAGTTGATATCATTATTATACAAGATGCATTGGCCTGCCTTCTCTTTAATCTTGCCCTGGGGAAGAATGTCAAGAAGCTCAAATATACAGACCATCTACAATCATGTACCGAACAGTGTTAATCCTGGAGTTCACTGATAATCTGAGAGGAAGCACTTCGTGAGCGAGAAGCCTTGGAGTACTAAGGCAAAACTAAGTATGTGATTATTGGCCAGCGAGCAGTGCCTGGGGAAAGAGAAGTTCAGAAGGTTTTCATTTGAGAATGTTAATGAGATCAAATACCTGGAAACAAAGATGAATTTTTACAATATTACTACCTAAGTAAAGAGTTGTACCACTGCTAAACACATTTGGTCTAAGGTCTAAGCTGAGAAGAAACCTTATCACCAGGAAACTGAGCTGAAACAGCATAAGACCATGACACTTGCCTAGGCACTAGCGGATCCAGGATTTAATTTTGAGGGGGGCTTAAGCCGGAAATTAATATTTTTTTAAAAAAGGAAAGATATTAACTACCTATATGAAATAGTGTTTACTTGAAGTTCTATTAAATTTAATTACACGAACAATAATACTTTAAGAGATATTTTTTTCTATAAAACATGGTTATATTTTATCATTTTGGAGGAGGAGGGAACTTCAGCCCGAAAGCCCCCTCCATAGATCCGCGTGTGGCCTAGACCGATTCAGAAGACCATGAGTAACTAGCTGGTTGTTCTAACAAAGAATAATAAGTAATAATCAGAAACTTTATAACATTCTAATTGAGCTAGGTATTGAGAAAAAAAAGAAGTAAAAATAATAAAGTTGACAAACTGACCAGAATAGGTTCTGGAATGATCCAACCAGATATTCCTCTGGGCATGAATTCAACTAAAAGAATAATAAAACAGACCCTCCAAAATTCACTGAAGGAGAAATATGCGCAAAAAATTGAAGAGAAGCGATGAAGTGGATTCCTGGAAGGAAGTGGCAGGATCCCGAGAGACCTCTCGGCAAGACGTGGCATGTCTTGGAATGCTCACAGGGCATAATTTCCTGCAGAAGCACCTCCACCGATGGTATAAAAGATAGTCCGACATATTCTCTGTGCTCCTTGAATATTATACCTGCATTACAGGACATAAGATGTTCCTTTAGTGAAATGGACGACCCTTATGCTAGGAGTGCAAAATTATATTGGAGTGCAACAGCACGCATGGCTGATCAAACAGACGTTACTTAGGCATAGCACAAAAAAAAAAAAAAAAAAAAACTAAGGATGTGCATGACTGAAACATTAATAAATTGTTAATCTGTAATTATTTTTCTAAGTAATTTGAAGTTCATTCTGGTTTGAAACTAAATGGTTCTCTTTCACCATTCCTATTTAATTTAGCACAAGAACAGAATTAGAGAGATGATTTATAATGAAAAACATTTGAATATGGGTAGAAAAATATCCATACTCCAATATAAAAATAATAATTTTCTACTGTTAAGCGGAACTATAAAAATAAATACAAAAACTTTGATGAAAGCTGGTAAAAACTGAGTGTATGGTTAACAGCAGAAAAGGCTAAGATGGCTGTGATAAAGATATAGAAGGAAATGCGTTTGAATAAATAGAGAAATTCAGGTAATTAGGAAGATTATAAATATAAAAAAAAATATATTGAAGAGGGAATTGAAACAAGGTTAAAGTTGGAAATAGTTGTTATTTTGCGGTACAAAAAATTACTTAACTTGCGACTTTTATACTAAAATTAAATTTATAAAACTATTATACTGCCTACGGTTCTTAACGGTGCGGCACGTGATCGCGTGCATTAAGGATTGAGCAATACCTATAGACAAGTAAAACGAAACGAATTCAATACTTGCACAAAATAAAAATATTACAATGCAAGAGCAATGTGGAACTAGAAAGGAATTAAAAAATCTTGATTGAATGATAATTGGAATTTCGAGTTCGATACATTGCCAAACAAGTTGAAAATAGAAGGGATTCCACGAATGTACTGTTTGCCATAGAAACAGCAAACCCAAAACTATTATAATTAGATGGAAATTGTGACAGAGTCGTTAGGAAATAGTGTTCGTTTGGATCACTTCACATTACGGCATAAACTTTCAGATCACGCGCCTCTTTGGGAAGAGAATCAGGAACAATCCTGGTAACAGAATATCCAAGAAGGAAGAGACTATACTCTGCCGATTAAGGATTAAGCGCTGTGAATTTTCTCATACATACTTATAAAGAGATCTTGAATCCCCAACATGCGAAAGCTACAATATTCGATTGAACAATTAGACATGTTCTTTAAGACTGTCCCAAATCTTTTATTTTTATTTATTTACTTATTGATTAATATAACACTTTGTCGCTTGCACATTAATTATAGAGAGGTAAGATCTCTTTAACACAATATCTACATAAAAATAAATATTATAAACAGAACCAAAAAAACTAAATAATAATAAGAAAATATTACAATAAATAAAATAAAATAACAAAAAACATATACACTATTTACCTCCCTCTGAAATGGCAAATTTATTTTTTTGTGGGTAGTGAATGAGTTTGAGCCGTCACGCTAGCTAAAGTGACGTAAGGCTTATTAGGCTAAAGTTGGCTCAAGTCGCATAATTGAAGTGTTATTGTATTTGGATTAAAATATTTCAGAAACTAAATATCGGACCTGCATACTGTATGGGAGGGAAATGTTTATTATTTCATCCTCTTTGTAATAAGCTGTTATTCAAAACTGCATCATAATGCGAGGCCGTGTTATAGAGGCGATAAAGGAAAAAATATATTTCATATTATTAACTTCTCTTTGTTGATCTTCTCACTTCTATCGTGCGGTCTTAGGGACACACTGTAGTTTTTATTTCTTTTTTTTAATTAACTTTCCAGCTATCTAATTCAATTAGGTTGTAATATAATTATTGTAGTTAAAATTTTCTATATTTAAGAAATACTGAAATTTTAAACAGAAATGGTTAACTTGAAAAAATAAATCTATTTGTTATATTTAACCTCTATGGCATCACCAGGTAATTGGAGGGGGAAGTCATCTCCAGGGAGGTTAAAATTGAATTTAATTATTCACACGTTGATCTGTTTACTCACTTTTAGTATTTCTTCTACCATTTTAACCTAAGTTATTACTTTCGATTGGAGATAGTTAGTGTGGCTGTTCTGTTTTCGAAAGTATATTTCTTAATTGTTGTAAGTTTCCTTTAAACTTTGAAATAACTATTTGTTATTATAAATTCTGTGACATTTGAAGACATTTTATTTTTATTTTTCTATTTTACTATTATTTGTGTGATTAGTTAATATAATTTAAATTTTAATCACCAAACACTTTGCAAGCTCTAATTTGACTGGACTAGTTATATTTTATGTGAGAAACTTCAATGCTGTTATGAATATTTAAATATGTTAGGTCCTATATCTGTTCGGTTTCTTATTACTTTTGAGTTACAACATTTAAATGAACAAAGTAAATAATATAATGTACATAGTTTCTAGCAGTGAATTGTGAAAGGTGCTGAACTTCAGACATCCAAATCTGAACTTAGTTATTTGTGTTATGACAATTCAAACTTATTGTAGGAATTAATAATTTGTTTAAAGAGTTAACTAGTTCATTGTAAAAACATCTGACTTTTGTTTTCATGTTGTTAAGTGACATTCATTGACGGGAAACTGAATTGCAGTTAAATTCCCAATTGTTCTATAATTACATGTATTGTTGATAGCTTATAAATTACATTTTCATTGTGTATTTTGTTCGCTTTTCAGGTACATGTAATTCTGGTTTATCTGCACTGAAAGAATGTCTGATGAAACTAAACCTTCATGTAAGTTCTTTTAAAAGATTTACTGTGGTAATGCATGTCAGAGGTTATAAAATATATTAGGTATTTTCTTGCAATTGTAAATTCTTAAAGTTTATTATGGAATCACATTGTAGAAAACGAAATATTCTGTTTTCATATTTTGAGTTTTTCTATATCCATGTTGTCATTTGTTTCCTGAATCCAATTTAGAGATGGTTGTATTGTTGACTGTTATTTTAAAATTATTAAGATGCAAAATTGTTAGGTTGACAATTTGTGATCTATTACTCTTGCGGATGTTTCAACCTAAGCATATGGTTCATCATTGAGGCAATGGTTACTTTCTGGTCTAGAAATAAAAATTCTTTTAAGAGATTAGATTTTGAGAAATGTTCATACTATATCGATTAGATAGATATTAAAATGCAAGAAAGTGTTTATGTTTTGGGGAATTAAAATTTTTTTTATTCATTTCAAGACTTCAAATTTCAGTTGCTGTTTGCATTAGGAAAACGTGTTTTCCACCAGATACTAAGCCTTATAAAAGTGCACATGGCAATTTATTACCTCCGTTGCTTATAAAAGGGGACATATAGTATAAAAAATCTCTAGTTTCGATGGTTTATGGAGCTCTGAAAAAACACCAACCTTTCGATGTTGAAAACTAAAACTTTTCTTATTCATTATTCTTAAGTATATTTTATAGAATTTTTGATAACTCAAAATTTTGAAAATTAACATGTCTAATTTGACCTGGCTAGTAATCATTTATATGAAAAACTTCATTGCTGTGATGGATCAGTATAAATATATTAGGTCCTATGCCTGCCTCTTTTCTTCTTATTATTAAATTAAGTTGTGGGATATAACTTCTAGCAATGATTTGCAAAGAATGCTTGATGTCAGACATTAAAATCTGATAGTACAGTAATTTGTGTTCTGAGAATTAGAACTGATTGTTGGAATTAATAATTCTATATAAAGCACTATTCTGTTTTTTGTTAAAACATGTTTTCATGTTATAAGTGTAGTAATTTTTTAATTCATTGATGCTCAATTGATTCTTAGTTAAATTCCCTATGTTTTCATTTATTGTAGATACATTGTTAATCACATTTTTGTTGTTTATTTTTCTTGCTTTATTTCAGGTCCAAGTAATTCTGGTGTTTGTGAATTGAAAGAAATGTCTGATGAAACTAAGCCTTCATGTAAGTTATTCTGTAAAATATTATTATGAAATGCAGAGTACAAAATATTCTAAGTTTGCTTTCTTTAATTATTGTTCATGTCATGGTTCAGACCCCTTATTATCGAACAATTAACATCTGCCCAAAACTTCATGAATGGCTTCATCTTTTCGTAACCTACAAATTTTAATTGACAAAAATTGTCTAGACTTTGCGATGAAAATACTAAAACTTTCTCATAAATTCCCATTTCCTTTCCACTTCAAACATAAGATAATTTGTTCACAAAATCTATGTAATCTTGTAATTTTGACATGACATATTTTTTATTGTTTTTCTAATCAAATTATCTTATGATTCAAGTGGAAAGCAAATAGGTGTTCATGAGTTTTTAGTAGTTCATTAAATAGACAAAGTTTACCGATCTCCAGATTGCAAACGTCCCATTTCTAAGAATTTTCATTTATAAAATAGTTGTAGATTACGGTAAGTCGAAGCCATTCATGAAGTTTTAGGCGGATGTTTCAGATGGTTCAGTCACTTAATCTACTTTCGGACACACTCAGCCATCCTCTAGATTCCATTGATGCTGTGCTCATGAGATCTTGGGCCGTCCATCAAAGTGAAATGAAACGATTAAAGAGTTTTATTTTGGGACTAAAAATAATAACAGATTTAGAAAATTATGCCCATTAGTCTCGCTTGAAGAGATGTTTGTCAATAACCATGTTTGTCAATGATGTTTGTCAATTACCTGTTTTTTTTTTTGTTTTTTTTTTTTGTTCTTCCCTACCTAGCCTTTTAGGCTATACGGGATTTTCCAGGGCCGGGGGGTGAGGGCGGGGAATTTAAAATCCCCTCCGGCACCGGGATACGAACTCGTACTTTTTATATCATCTCAAATCTCTGTTATCCGGTTGCCAGGCAACTAGCGGTGCTGTTACACACGCTTTAGCCTATTCGGCCACCCCGCCCCCTAATTACCTGTTAGTTGCAATTATAAAGTTATTTGAATTATACAATATACAGAAACAAGTAAATTTTACATGGTTTAAATTTATATATATACAGGGTGTCCCATAAGTAGTGGGAAATACTTAAAAGGATGATAGTAGACTTCATGATCTACAAAAAAGTTGTTATAAACTATTTCCAATTTCCAGCATAACAGTAGGAAATTAAGGATTTATGTTTTTTTAAGTTAATCATGTTTTTTGTTGAATAGGAAGCGATAACATAAAAAAAATATTTTATTCACGTAACTAAACACTACTCCATAGTAAACTAGAAAAAATGTACTTTAAAATAAAGTAGAGTTTTTTATTGCTACAAGTTTCTTTTTAAAAAAAGTCATAAATCATTTGTGAATTTTTTATATCATCCTTTAACTGTACTATATTTACCCCACTTTTACAAAAACTTCCTCGTTTAATAAGTTTTAAGGACATATTAATTAAGTTCAGATTTATTAGGAAAAAATTTGAAATTCACCTCAAATTGTGTAAAGAAATTATTTCCTGTCCACTCACCTTACAGTACCCGTATTTTCTGCAAATATGACTACAATTAACTGTTTTAGTTTTTATTTCTTGTTTTTCCGTGATATTGGATGTATTTAAATAAACATAATTGCCTAAATATACTTTTTATTTATAAAAATAAATTACAAATAATGATTCATCATCATCATATGTGGCACGACATCCCGTTACCGAGACTGGGCCTCCTCCAAGAGCCTCCGCCAGTTGGCTCTGTCTTCTGCTGCAGCTCTCCAGTTCCGTACACCAAGCAGGGTTCTCGCATCATAGGCCACGTTGTCCAACCATCTCGTCCTCGGCCTTCCTACCCGTCTTACGAGGTGCAGCTCCTCCATCATTATTTTCTTTGGTATTTCAACGGTACTCATTCTGGCCACATGCCCTGCCCACCTTAGTCTGGCCAGTTTAATATACGTAACTACGTCGATGTCTGTATAGAGAGAACTGAGCTCCCTATTTTTTCTTTTCCTCCAGACATCACCCTCCTTTACTGGACCATAAATCCTTCTGAGGACTCCTCGCTCAAACACACTCAGCTTCATCTCATCGTTTTTAGTCATCGTCCAAGCCTCTGAGCCATATGTCAAAACAGGCAGAACAAGGGTCTTGTATATGATCAGCTTGGTCTTCTTTGAGAGGTACCTACTTCTTAAGTGTCGGCCAAGTCCAAAGACACATCTATTGGCAGCCGTGATCCTTCTTTGATTCTTGAGCCATGTCATTTTTGCTATTAATTTCAGACCCAAGGTATACAAAACTTTTCACTCTCTCAAACTTAAAAGAACCTACCTCAAATGGAGAGTTCAGATCCACAGATTACTCCTACTTCTCCAGGCACCGTTCCTCTGTTTAATGCGTCTTTGAAATGTGTACCCATCTCCTTAGTACTTCATCTTTGTGGCTTAAAAGAGTTCCATTCGTGTCCTTGCACGCCGTCACTCTGGGCCTGAAACAAATAATGATTATTTAAATATTTTTAATGTAATGTGGTTATGGAATTGTATTTTTCTCCCAGATCTCTCATTGGAATTGATCCATATTTTAAGTGACAAACTCACTGTTTCCAATACAAATATTTACGTTTTCATGAAAATAATTGAAAAAATCGATAGGTTTCTTTATTTTAAACATAAATTTTAGGACTAAAAACATGTAGTTTGTAGTTTTAGGTGACTGGACAGAAAATCACGTAATTTCTTTACACAACTTAAGGCGAATCTCAAATTGTTTCCATATAATCCTCAAATTAATTAATATGGACTTGAATATTATCAAATGAGGAAGTTGTTTTTTGTAAGTGGAGTAACTGTAGTACGGCTGAAGGCTGAAAAAAAAAAGATCACATATGACTTTTTTTAACAGTACTTGGCAGAGTTTATCTGCTCGATAGTCCTCTTTAAATGGTTTTAACAATGACGAATGAAATTTTTATTTATGAAATTTACAACTGTAATTAATAATAAATACAACAAGTAAATATGAACAAATAATATGACATGTACAACATGAGGAGAAACTACCCATTGGTAGCACTCCAATTATATTTCTATATTAGAAGGTCCCGAGGCCATCTTCTTTTCAGACGCCTCGGAGGGTTATCAGGAATAGAAGAGGAAGCAAGGTTGAAAACGAGAGGGTTCGGATGGTTCAGAAGTTTATTATGAAAGGACAGGTATCTGGATTGAGCTAAATCGGAAACATATGATACATTAAGGTCATTATGGATTATTTTATTTGTGACAAAGTAGGGAGCATTAAGGATTTTACGAAGGATTTTGGATTGTAGGGATTGGATACGAGGGGAATTTGATGGTTTAGTAGAGCCCCCAAGCTCGATCCCGTAAGTCCAAATAGGCCTTATTATAGTAATATATATGAGTCTTTTGCAAATAATTGGCAGTTTAGAGCGTTTGTCTAGTAAGTGCTGGAATAGTCGGAAACGTTGGGCGGTTTCTAGTCATTCAGTCTGGTATGGGGATTCCAAGTGAGTCGTTTGTCAAGGTGGAGTCATAGGTATCGGATTTAGTCAACAGGGATAAGTGGGGTATTGTTAAAGGAAACTGTAGGACAGGAAGACATCATCGTATTACGGCGAAGAGTGAAGGTAATTTGATGGGATTTATTGGAGTTTATTTTAATCCTCCAGTTTTGTCACCATTTTTCAAGACTTGTGATGTGTGATTGAAGAGTTTGGGATGCAATAGATGGATCGTTATTGACTGATAGGATACATGTGTCATCGTCATATTTGGTGATGACAGTGTTGGAATGGGTTGGGATGTCAGCTGTATAAACTGTATAAAGGATAGGACCTAGGATACTACCTTGAGGAACACGAGCAAACTGGGAAAAAAGAGATGAAAAAGCATTGTTATGATTGACTTTGAAGGATCTGTCAATAAGGTAGGAACGGATAATGAGGAAGTATGTAGGTGATAGGAATTTACGGAGTTTGTACATCAGTCCGGGATGCCAGACTCTATCAAACGCCTGTTCAACGTCGAGAAAGACTCCCGTGCAGCACATTCCGCGTTCCAATGCAGAGGAGACTACATCTACCACACTATGGCATTGCTGTATAGTGGAATCCAAATTAGTGATCTGGGATAATTTGTTTAGAGTCTAGGATAGGATACATAATATATATATTAAATAACATTTATTTTAATTTTACTGTTTGATTTTTTGTTGTTATTAATCTTACTATTATTTGTGTAAGTAGTTTTGTCTTTGTTATAAAATATGAACCATTGCTGATGAACATTTAAATATGTTAGATCCTATGCCATTTATCTTGTTACTTTTTTGAGTTTACTACATTTAAAATAAATTAATTTTTTTTCGAATATAATATATCTTTATTTGAGAAAACAATTTGTTGTATAAATTATATACAAACAGTTTGAAAAAGAAATGTATTCCAAAATAATAATAATTATATGTGTCTAGTACTTTTTACTTAAAATAAAAACAATTAAAAAAGTCTAGTGCGCGCAACACACAACTTTACTGCTCAACTTTGAATAGAAATTATTTTCTGGCCATGTTGGGCTATTATAAAATTTTTGAATTGCATTTTTAACAGAGCTAAAGATAAAAGATTACAGCTAACAAATCATAAATACTATTTAAATAACAAAAATCCTATTTATTATATCACCGGTTAATTATGGATTGTACGATTCGTTGATTATGGATTGTACGACTATTAGTTATTAAACTATTATTTTCCATTGCAAAGTTTACCAAAACGGAATTAAGAGATTTTCATTGTCTGTCATATACATGTCAAAAGTTGTCACACTAATTGGAAGTGGATACTGTTGGAATATCACAAAGGCAAAATTCATCAAATTATATACTAATTTAATTTTCTAAAAAGTTCCATGACGATTTTTCGGAATAAACGGACGTTGATACCTAATTATTTAAATATAATATCAGATCTAGAGTTATTAAACTACAATAAATATATTTAAGATTATAAACGTATCCATGAAGTATTTTTATATTTCACTTCTTCTTTCACACAAGTACAATGAAATAGTATCTTAAATAATGTCATTTCTTTAAATCCTTGGGTTTTAAATACTTTTTCAAACTTAAAAAAAAATTTTAAAGTTTACATTTAGAAGAAAATTTCATTTAATTTCCTTATAAACATGTGATTTACATTAAATATTATTAGTTTAAAAAAATTATTATTTATAATTTTTTTGCTACTCTCCGTTACCTTTTACAACTTTCTAAATTAGATATTGTTTTTTCTAAAATCCTCTGCTTTCCAACGATATATTATACGTATATCTTTTGACTAGTATTTCCGGAGATTCGTTTTCGACCTGGACAAGCATTTTTATTTTTTCCTCCTTTATTCAATTATCAAATTCTTTAAAAAGTTATATTTAGAATTTTTTCCTAACTTTTAATAATGAGAGATAGTTAATTATTTGAAGTGAACCATATTAAAGGTACTTTAAAGGAAGAGGCATATGAACATTAGACATTTAAGCCCTGTAAAGTGACATCAAAGAGGATAAGACCTAAATGATATTAATGACCACTTAATTATACAATGATACACCGAGTTTAATCAAAATCGTTTGAGCTATTTTTGAGAAAATTGTAAAAATGTGTTTCAGCGTTGATATAAAGTGGCACTTCAAAAATGTTCACGTTCGCAATACTTACCCTTACTATATATTACATAGATAGGTTAGTAAAAGTAAAAATGACATTGAATAAAACATAAGATATGATATAAAATTTTGCACTTAATGTACTCTCATCATGTAGTAATACACTTTATTTTACATCTCGACACTATCAATATTGGATGGCTTGGATGTTGGTTGTTATTGAAAGATTCTGAAATGAATGGCTGGAGAAACTTGTCTACATTCATTATGTGTTGAGGATCGATGAAGGATGTGATGTAGACTATCGGAAATATATTGGATGCATGAAATACAGAAGTTTCTTGTGACTTGAACGAAAAGGTTATATTTTTTTAAGAGCCTGATATGTTGTGGGTTAGCAACTTTCAACTGACTGACACATCTCAATATCTTTCTTTTTATAATGAAGATGTATCTATATCATAAATCACTTAATTCATGCATTGCATATTTGATTTACTTTTACAGGTACAAGTAGTGCTGATTTTTCTGCACCAGAAGAAATGGCTACAAGTAAGTTTTCAAATAAATACAAATAAGTTTAAGTAAATAAAATTAAGTGTTTCTTTTAAAGCCTGAGTGTTACAAATTTTGGTACTTCTGAACAATTCGGTCGGGACGGACTGCTACCTGCCAGTGATTATAACCTGACACTGATAATTCTGATAAGGCACTCACAATCCCTATCTTCGTATTCATATTTATGGAAATTGAAAAACAAATGTAATAATAACAAAATACTTTTATTTTACAACATATATATGAAATAGACAAAAGCAAATGTCATATTTATGGAAATTAAAATAGACAAAAACAAATGTAATAATAACAAAACATTTTTATTTGACAACATATATATATAACACTTTTGTTTTACAACAAATATATATACTTATATATACATATATATATATATATATATATATATATATATATATAAATAAAATAAAAATTAGAAAAAAGACATTAGCAGGGATATTAGAAGAATTTGAAACTGCCACTAAAGAACTAGGGCTACAAATAAATAAACAGAAGACTGTTTACATGCAAATGTCAAAAAGCCAAGTGAAACAGTTGAATGCGTCACAATTGGTAATCACACCCTAAAAGTGGCCTAAAATTTTAAATATTTGGGAGCACTAGTCAGAGAAAACAATGAAATGGTTGAAGAATTAAAAGCAAGGATGACTGCCGGGAATAGGTGCTGTTTTGCAATGCGAAAAATATTGAATTACAGATCTCTTTCTCTCAGAACAAAGATCACGGTGTATGAGAAAGTCATCAGACCCGTCGTCACCTATGGCTCTGAGACTTGGGTGATCTCCAAAGCATCGGAAAGAAGGCTACTCCTCGCATGGGAGAGAAGTGTTCTCTGCAGGATCTATGGCCCGGTGGGCTAACAGGGACAATGGAGAATTCGCACTAATAAAGAACTATATGAAAAGTATGCAAGGCCGGATTTGGTCTCAATTGTGAGGGGAAACCAGATCAGATGGTTGGGCCATGTGGCGCGTATGCCCCGAGACGCGATTCCCAAACGCTTGCTAGAGGTTCGGCCTGATGGGAAATGTGGAAGGGGAAGACCACGCCTGAGATGGCTGGACCAGGTAGAGGACAGCCTAAAAAAGATGGAGAATGATCGCTCGGGATAGGGGAGAGTGGCGAAGGATAATAAGAGAGGCCCAGGTTCTTACAGGACGATAGCGCCAAGGATAAATAAATAAAAAATGTATATATATATAACCATTTTATTTTACATTTTATACAAAATAAATACTTAATGCATATAACGCATATACGTTCATATTTTATATAAATAACCTATGTAAATATAAAGCAATTTGATTATTTATGCTAATTGCTTAATGCTATTTAAAATAGCGAGAAACGGTTCCTCTTCTCTGTGAACCCGCGGCCACAAAAATTCACATAAATATGAATCCAGGTGTTCTTCTTCACAGAATTTCATCTTTGTAATTATCCCGCCCTTTTGAAAATATTTGATAGTTTCTTCTTCTGAAGATGGCAATTCCCACAATGGAATAACTCACAGAAGTATGACAACAGCTTACATAAGATAAGAAGGAATGTTATGTGATGTAAGATGAGAGAAGAAGGGAAGTTTCGTCCCGACCGAATTCTTCACAAGTACCCACATTATTTTATTATGTTTTTAATAAGGCTTTTTAAAGTTTTATTATGGGATTTCATGTACAATATAAAGTATTCAACATCAGCCCCTTTGGGACTTTTATATATATTTGTTTTGCTAGCACAATACGGGGATAGGATATCTAAGGCCCAATATCTATATTAATATAGGCCTATAACTATCAATACCATGAAACTATCAGACTTGAAATACCGATAATCGTTATTTTCATCAATATTATTAAAAATTTTAAAAAAATAAAAATTTTTTTTTTTTTTATTATTTATCTCTTAGTTCTTAGTCATTATTCTAACATTTTCATTTTACTTTATATTTATCTATTTTATTTTTCTGATTTTTTTTTATTTATTTTTTTTATTTTTATTATCTTTTTTACCATCATTACTTATGTTTCTCATACCTTGTTATCTGGTTATTTTCTTAGCCCTGATGAAGGCCTGAACTTCAGGTCGAAACGTCGGCATATGTAAAAAATAAAAAAATAAATATTATCATTTCTTTTTGCCTTCCTTTTTGACTGAACACCCCAACTATTCTTCTCTTCATTATCCACGACAGTCAACCAATTACCAATTATTACTTCTTCATCCTCATTTTTTTTCTATTGATTATTTTATTTATGATTTTCAATTTTCAATTGATTTCTTTACTTAATAACTTTATTTTTATAAAGTTTAAATATTCAAAATAAAACTAGCCGTTTTAATTGACGATATTTATGAGTTATAGTTTCAAGTTAGGACAAGTGTTGAGTAGTATTTATAAACTCGATTGTTATAGAGTGTATTATGGTGATTATAGTGAGTATATTATAGCCTTACTAATATAAAAATGCTAAGTTAAAGTATTATGTCCTTGTACTTCATGAACTTAGGTACCTCAGTTCTTTACTGGAGGCCAAGAGTTACCTATGGCTGCACTACCCATTTGTAGTTTTGGACGAGTAATTTTGGGCAGTTTCATAATGATACAAATATCATTTCATTTTATTCAATATTTCATTATTATTTTTATTAAGAGAACTTATCTTATTTTTGTTTATTAGCCATTCTTTTTTATTATCACTCGTGAGTAAAATTGATTTTATCTTTATAAAGTAAGGCTGTATTATTCCACCATTCTTATTTCTTTTTTACATTGGCTACGTTGCGGCTATGATACCATTTTCATGCCATTTGGTTTAATAATACTCCTTATATACAGTCCATAATTGGATTATAGTCTTTATTACTTTATAATATTAAACATAATTTATTTTTCCATCTCCTCAGTAATAAATCTTCCAATATATGTAAAATAAAGTTTTTTTGTACTTTAGAGATGTCAGTTACACTATACCGATATCTTGCAGATATTATCTATGTATTTGTCATATTGCTTATTTGTATAAATACGTGAACTCACCTGTATGTAATCATCTTTAAATTCATATGTCTACTTCAGGATCATATGTTTACTACAGTGTCTTTATTTTTAATATGAAAAATTTACATGTTTCTTTATTTTAATATTAAGATTATTGCTACCAGTGGGTAGTTTCTCAACAAGCGTGTTTCATGTAATAATATTTCTCTGTACAAATTTACTAGATGTATTCATACTAATACAGTTGTAAATATCATAATAAAAGTTAAAAAAAAAAAAAATATTAAGATTAGACAACTTTGTAAATTAATTTATTTTTAATTGTCATTTAATTATTCACAATCGCCCGACAATTGTCATAACTCTGTTCATTGTAGTTATTCTGAGAGGAGTAAATGTCCCAGAATAAAATTTACTTTCTTTCATAATTTTATCTAAAACAAAAAACATACGTGGACTTTATTTTATTTTTATTTTTATTATTTGTTGTTATGGAAAAATAAATCCTTAATCCAGGTTTTGTTTAACATCTGTTAAGGCGTTTGACAGATTTTGGCACCCGGGACGGACTGCTGTAAACTCTGAAAATTCCCATCTACATACTTCCTCATTATCCGTTCCTACCTTACTGATAGATACTTTAAAGTAAATCACAACAATGTCTATACATACCGCTTTTCCCAGTCTGCAGGCGTTCCTCAAGGTAGTATCCTAGGTCATATCCTTTACACAGTCTATACAGCAGACATCCCAACAGTGTCATCCCCACATATGCCGATTGCACATGTATCCTATCGGTTAATAACGACCAATCAATTGCATCCCAAACCCTTTAACTACACATCACAAACCTTGAAGAATGGTGTCAAAACTGGAGAATTAAAATAAATTCCAATAAATCCCATCAAATTACCTTCACCGTTCATCGTAAACCAATGACTTCCTGCCCTTCAGTATCCTTTTACAACACCTCACCTATTCCTGTTGAACAAATCCGTTACCTAAGACTCCACCTGGACAAAAAACTTGGAATCCTCATACCAGACGGAAACGACAAGAAATCGCTCAACGTTTCCGACTAACATTTACTAGACAAACGCTCCAACCTTCCAATTAATTACAAAAGACTTATATAAATGACTATAATAAGGCTTATTTGGAATTACGGAGTTGAGTTATGGGGCTCCACCAAACCTTCAAATTCCTCTTGTATCCAATCCTTATAATCCAAAATCCTCAATACTCCTTACTTTGTTACAAATAAAATCATCCACAATGACCTTAATGTTTCTTATGTATCAGATTTGGCCCAATCCAGATATCTATCCTGCCATAATAAACTTCATAACCGTCCTAACCCTCTTGTTTCTAACCTTGCTTCCTCTTCAATTCCTGATAACCCTCCGAGGCATCTGAAAAGAAGATGGCCCCGTGATCTCCTAATATAGACATATTATTAGAGTGCTACCAATGGGTAGTTTCTCTACATGTGTTTCATGTCATTATATTCATGCACGAATTTACTAGATGTATTTTTTTTATACAGTTGTAAATATCATATATAATAATAAAAAAAACATCTGTTAAGCTTTATTTTAAGTTTTCATATAAAATCTTAAGGAAGCTTAACTGACGTATTAGCAGCAGTTGGTTGACATTTCTGATTATTTTTATTTTTTTTGTTACTGTTGCAGTTCCCACAATTTATATCAAATGTGAGAAAATTGAAGAGGACTACTATGGTGAGGAAACTATCAAGTTTATATAATTTTTTTTTAAATCACATAATGAAATTAATATATTAATACCATAGTATATAATGATTTTATTATTTAAGATCTTTTAAATATATTTTATTTATATCTATAGGATAATTTATAATATTTTATATTACAATAAATATTATATTGAAATTTCTTATGTATAGGGTGTGTGAATAGGTTGTTTTTATATAAAAATAAAAAGTTTTTTTATAATAAATGGTCAGAGGTAGGTCATTCAAAGTATTGTCTCTCACTTACCACTAGTTCCTTCTCTCTTTCAGGTAACATACGGAATCCACATTGAAAAAAAGAAATGTCTTTTGAGGAAACCTAGTCATCAACCCGTTTTTTTAGTTTTGTCATAAGAATAGAATGCTGAGCAATGCTGTGAATCAACGATTACAAAATTGGTAGTCAGTAGGAGCAATGACTGGTGAATAAAGTGGGTGGTAGGACAAACATTCCAATTTCAGTGTTTCTACATGAATTTTAACCTAGATTTACAAAATGAGATCAAGCGTTATCAGTAAAATTACCTTATCGTGTCTCTGCTCGTATTGCGGTCACTTTTGCTCAGGCCTTGGCTCAAACGCATCAATTGTAGTCTTTAGTGATGGTTTCATCGCCCTGAAGCAGCTCGTAATAAATGACACCAAGCTGATCCCACTAAATGCAAACCATAAGCAAAGAACCAAGAATCTTCGGCTTTGCTGCCAATGTTGAGGCATGTCCAGGTAGTCCCTATGTTTGTCGTAGTGTAAATAACCTACAGAAAGTTAATTTTAAATAATTAGTTTTGGCGGGAATAGGCGAATAGCCTTCCGCTTCCATATTGGGAATTGAGGTTATTTACACTCGTGAATTATTAAAACAAAACCCCGGCACTGGATATCGACTTTTTTGAGGGTGTTCAACTGTGACTGGGAATTCGGGGATCTATTACCTTTTGTGACATTGAGTGAGAAGAACCAATAAGAACATATATATATAATGTGGGACTTAGTAAATACACTTTGAATGAATTGACTCACCAGGTTTATTCTTCAATTGTGAGGCCTATAGGACAACTAAATAAAATGTCACTCCTGTCTAACAAAACAAATTTATTTTAACAACTGATAATGAATATATATAAGTGAACGGTCGGCTTGATATTCTTGGTCTTCAGTGTCGTAAGCCTCTCTTCCCAGATGACGTCTTCTCGTGTTCCTGTCCAGACCTCAAGTGTTTGGATCTCCTCGTCAAAGTGTTTGGCGTCCTCCTCACCATCTGTTGCCAGCTACCTGATCCAACCTTTTTTTCTTCTTTTCAATTGTTTATCGATGTGAGATTTTCCAATGAGCAATTTGTCCACTGCATAATTGAGTACAATTCACAGTGCAACCTGACATTCCTATATATTATTTATTACTTCTCATTCCCTCACACAATGTCCTCTAAAGGAGTAAATACAGGGGGATGTCTACTACAGTAGTGTATCCACTTTTCATCACCAGTTATAATATGAAGCAGAAAAAATTGTCTTTGTCGTGGAAGTAGCTATTCGAAAATGAATAAACATGGTTCGTCATCCCTTTCCTTCAGTTGATACAGTACCCAATTTCCTTGCTTTTGTACTATTTTTAAAGTTTTCAAATGTTTAGCAACTGTTGTTCAATCAACTCACAATGATTCTCTAATTTCTTCTTACGTCATGGATCTTCACGCTACCAGATCTTCATCTCCAAACTTTTCTTGGGGCGTCTAGAAGGTCGTCATCTGTGAGATCATGATGATTGTTTTCAAAGCCTTTAAACCATTCTCTGCATGTTCTTTTTAATAGGGCATGATTGGCATAAGTTTCCACAAGAACGATTTGTCCTTCAGCTGCAGTTTTCTTTTGGAAAAAATAATGTAATCAAATTCCCTGCAAACAGTTTCAGAGGTTCGAAATTCGCCATGTTTGTGGCGATATGAAAGGTATTATATACATTTAGAGAATATAAAATGGTTTCTTTGTTGCCAGATGCTGGTAGATAAAAAAAAATCTCTTGATAACAAACAGTGGAAACTTATTCACACACCCAATATATGGTAAAAATCTCTTAGTTTTCAATATATGCTTTATTATTTCTTACTTTGACTATTAATTTGCATCCCTAATTACTAAAAGGAATATGGCCTGTTGTTTTATAGATTCAAGCCCTGCTTCCTCATATCCGCAGTCAGAGGATTCTAGTCAAGATATGAATTTCGCTGTAAATGAAGAAGTTTTAGATTCCCGTGACAAATCTTCAGATAATGATCCTCTGGGCGAAAAACCTAGTAATGAGAAGAAAAAAGGAGGAGGTGAGTTTTTTATTTGTGAAGTGGTACATTCTTAAAATTTAATCCTTAAATCATGAAACCTTCTGTAATCTTGTAAAAAACTATCTTGTAGATCAATATTGCTTCAAATTTTATAGTCCACGATACAGAGGGAGGGGGTAGCCGAGCAGCGTTGCCCAGCAACCTGATAGAAGGTAATTGGATAAAATAATTATGAGTTCATGTACCTGTGCCGGGGGAAAGCTTTTAACTCTGGCATTAATCCTCTCCCGCCCTCATACCCTGTTCCAGGAAAACCCCATATAGCCTAAAAGGGAGACAGGAAAATAAAAAACGCTGCAAATTATTTCACAATGGTTTATTATTTCCAATCAATTATATATCTAAAGTAATATTACCTTCCTAGTTACAAAGAAAAATAAATAAAAGATGATTCCAATTCTTGGACTAAATTTTTTATCATTAGTAATATGCTAAAAAAAAAAAAAAATAGCATTACTTCAGTAACACATTCAAAATTAAAAAAACAAACAATGGATATAACATTTGGAGTAGAACATATAAAAAAAAAAAACCGGAGACCATATCTTTGCTCCTAATTGTCCGATTATAACGATTTTTTGTGTCTGTTTTTTAGGAAATTTTGTAAACTTCAAAAACCATATACAATGTCGACAAAAAAGTGTAAACTTTTTGAGTTATTCGGAATTTAATTTTACCATCCCTCATAACTTTTTTTCCAGCTTCTTTTCGTTGAAGTATGTTTTATAGATAAATTTAAAGGGCGTAGAGGAAATGACTTTATCAAAGTTTCATTGAAATCGGTACATTCGTTTAGACACTACAGTCTATAGCAACGCAGGTTTTTCAGTCACCATTTTGAAAGTAAAAGGCGGATAGTAATGCCGATGAAGGAGGGTCATCCTCGGGTGACCTCTGATTTATATCCAAATTTGAAAAAAAAAAAATCTTTTTATGTGTTTAAAAAGATTAAAAGGAAAAAGAGAATTTTATTTTATAAAAAAATTACTTATAAAAAGGGCCAGGATTGATATGTAATTGCATATTTTGTTTGCTTGATTTTTAACCGCTAATAAAACATCTTTACGATTTAGTACACTGTGATACAATTAGCTGTTTTATTTTGCATACTTGAGGATAAATGTATATAATTGCATACTTTGATCAATTTTTACAAAATAAAAATATACGACTAAGATACAACATTGAAGATACGATTCAAGATTACAATCGTAGGTTTATTTTCAATGAACAAAACTAGAAACTCTATCACATTTGTAGACTTTATTCGTATACCCTTATATTTTTCGCTATACCCTTCAATAATTCTCTTCTTCATTGATGCTCACCGATTCCCAGAAATCCATTCTCCCTTCTTCTCCTTCTTCCACGGCACTACAACTCATGAAGAGTCTTGGCCTCCTCAAGATGTGTCCGCCAGACGTCTCTATCCTGCGCAGCCGCTTTCCAGTTAGGTACACCAAGTAGTGCACGTGCATCCCTTGCCACACAATCCTGCCATTGCAGCCGTGGTCTTCTTACTTTCCTAGAGCCTTGTTCGTTGATGTCCATAGTTTTTTGGGGGATTTCATCATTTTGCATCCTCGCCACATGCTCTGCCCATCGCAGTCTTGCAAACTTTATGATTCTTATGATATCCGGCTCCTTGAATAGACTGTAAAGCTCTGTGTTATGTCTAATCCTCCATTTCTGTTCAACGCGCAGAGGACCATAGGCTGTCTCCTTGTGTCATGGTCCAGGCTTCAGAGCCATATATCAGTACCGGACGAATGAGCATTTTATAAAGCTGTGTCTTTTAGCTGCGAGAGATGAGTTTAGTTTTGAAATGCTTATTTAGGCAAAAATAGCACTTGTTTGCCGCTATTATCCTTCTCTTGATCTCTAGGTTTCCTATGTTTTCTCTATTTACCAGAGATTCCAGATATGCAAACTCATTAATTCTCAGGAACTTGCGTGACCTCCAGGTGCTGTTCTCGAGGTTCTCCAGATACTAAAATTAATTGTTGTTAAGCTTTTATTTTATATTTTTCCATGATCTGGGATGTATTATAATAAACACACATTTTATTTATTAAAAAAATTAAATCGAAAAATATTTATTTTCGTATAAATTGGTTATAAACTGTGTTGTTTTTCATCCAGATCTCTATTATCAGTTAATTGTTATTTTTTTGAAAACAGGAGTACTTCTACTTGAAAGGATAAAAATGATCATAATTTTTTTACAAAACTTTTGCTAAATCTCAAATATGTCTCTAATAAACCTCAATTTAATTAATACAAACTTTGATCTTATTAAACTAAGAAGTTTTTGTAAAAGTGGGGAAACTGTTGTATAGTTGGATGATGATAAAAAAAAATGACGACTAATTTATGATTTTTCTTAAAACAGAACTTAGCTTAGTTTAGCCGCTCAAAAGTCCTCTGTGAATGATTTTAACAATGTTAAACTCTATGTTAATTTAAAGTAAATTTCATCTTGTTTACGATGAAGCAATTATTAATTACTTAAATTAAATATTTCTTTAGTTATTGCTTTCGAGTCAATAAAAAACATGACTCACTTAAAAAAACAAAACTTGGATTTGCTACTTTTCTGCTAAAAATTGGCCCACTGTTTATATTAAATTTTTTGCAGCTCTTGAGGTCTGCTTTCACTCCTATAAAAATTTCCCTCTACTTACGGGACACCCTACGTATCGCACCACACTTGCACAAATAATCACATTGAACTGCTATGAAAAGTCAGCTGGACTGTAAGAAGACTGACTTTGAGGGAGGTTGTACTTTGGTTGTTTTGCTGTATATGGCTGGTTTGAAAAACTCTAATGACCTCAGTACCCCAACAATTATTGTCCACTGGAAATAAACCCAATAAATATGGTATAAAAATAAATGCTTAGCAGAATCCGGAATGTTCTACACTGCAAATCTGAAAGTTTATGCAGGGAAACATCCAGATGGCACATATAAACTTGATAACAGTGCACTCAGTGTCGTCATGAGAATCTCATAACCCATTTTGAACAGCGGTAGAAATTTAACCATTGACAATTATTTTATATCTATGCCTCTAGACACAGAGCTACTGCAAAATAAAACAGCATTGGTTGGAACACTAACAAAGAATAAAAACGAAATTCCACCAATTTTCTCCAATAAAACAAGACCAGTACAATGCAGTACAATGTTTGCCTTCTCTCAACGTGGGGTGATTACTTCTTATGTACCTGAAAAGAATAAAAATGTTCTAATATATTCAACGATGCACGACACGGGGGTTTTTGATAACGAAACTGCAGCACTGTGTAAACCAGAACTTATGACCTCCTAAAATAACATTATATGTCAAGGAACAGTTATACTTGGTCATCTTTATGAGGTTACCAGACATAAACTCTACTTGCTTCTCGAGGAAATTTTATATAGTTTACAGTGAAACAATTTTTTTTTTTTTGTTATTACAGACTGTACATCTTTTGCCACCTTAACAAGCCTGCTCCATCTCTGCCTACTTATCTTGGGCTATTGTTGATTACAAAAATCCAATATTATTTAAGTTATCACGTCCTATTTAACAATGAGCATGTCTTAATTAAAAAGAACTTAAATTTCTTGTTTTTCAGCAGAAAATCAGGGTACAGTTTACATAAACTTTTTTCTAGCACATAAGGTCTCCTATGACCCCTATAAATATTCGAGACATCTTGTATAGTTGAAAAATATATGAATAATGAAAATTATTAAAAAAATATTGAAAAGTTCAAGAAAACAACAAGTTTATGGGCAAGGGGGTGTGATAGATAAGAGAAATAAGAATTATTTTTATTTTGCAAGGGCATGTGATAATGAATTGATGGAGTGAGTAAAATCTTCCTCTTTAAGTATGTACTTTTTTAAATTAAGATAAAATATATTGTACATGAATGATAAATATAAAAGAAGAAATTTAGTTTTTTTGGATAAATAAAAAAAAAAGAATAAAATGTATCCCTGAAAATGAGGACAAGAGTCCTAAAACCGCTTGAAAATGTTAAGGCATATAAGGAAAGAACAAAATGTAATTAATATAAACAGTATTAATATAAAATAGTTTAAATAATACATTGATTAGTTTCTATGTTAATATTGTGATAATTATTATTTATCTTAGGACGTTTGCTGCATGCTATACTTCTCTCCTTAATTGGGCGCCATGGAATAGGTAGGGTTCTAAGAGAAGTAGTAACTATCACAATATGAACAAAGAAATTAATCACTATGTATTCTTACAAATGAGAAGGAGTTCATCGGGGGGTGCGGTCAAATAAATACTAAATTAAACAAATAGTGTTATTTAATTTTTGCTGACGTTTCAACCCACTTTGCAGTTCTTCATCAGGGTGCAGGATGTAGCACTGCGGGAGGCAGTTGAAACTGCCGGTTTCACCTGCAAAGTGGGTCGAAACGTCAGCAAAAATTAAATAATACTATTTGTTTAATTTAGTATTTATTTGGCCGTACCCCCCGATCAACTCCTTCTCATATTATATCTACGGTCAACCATCTCTACATCATTATGTATTCTTAAAAATGATAACAATTAACCTACTTCAATATATCATTAACATGACAACTGTTCCTTTATTACAAAGTTAACATCTTCTTCTTTCGCTTCTCCCTTTTGTGTCTCAGCGTAAGGGAACGTACAGCCACAAATTTAATTCCTCTCTGTTACTTTCCAAATTTCATGCCTGGTGGAGATCTTTGCCTCTTCCTCTGCAAAGTCTATCTATATATTCCAAATATGATATTCTCGGGCACCTTTGAGGTCTTCTGCCATGCGAAACGTAGTCCGTCATCTTCAATGGGACGATCTTAAGTTCTTGTACAAAGTTAACATAAAAGAGAATAATACTCAAAATATCTTGATTATGTCTGTGAATTTGGGTGTGTTCATTTATTATATGGAAAACCTGGTAAAGTCTGGAAATTTCATTAAAAATTTTTTTATTAAGTTCAATTTAATTAAAAACTATTAAAATAAATATTTATTTAATTTACTTTAAAAGAATAGTTTTTTTTTTTTTTAGTTTTTATAATACTAATTTTTGCTTATAGGTGCCAAAAACTATAGAGGTGAGAAGTCTAAACAATGTCCTCATTGTGCCTTTAAATCTGTCACACGCCAAGAGTTGAATAGACACATAATGGCCCGCCATACAGGTGAGAGGCCTCATCAATGTCCTCATTGCGAATACAAATCTGTAATATCGCAGAATTTGAAAAAACATATAATGGCCCGCCATACAGGTGAAAGGCCTCATCACTGTCCTGACTGCGACAAAACATATATTACAGTTCAAGACTTGGCAAGACATATTGCATCTCGTCATACAGGTGAGAAGCCTCATCATTGTCCTCATTGTGATTATAAATTTGTTTCACATCAACAGTTGAGAAGACATGTAATGGCCCGACATACAGGTGAGAAGCCTCATCAATGTCCTCATTGTGAATATAGGTGTATAACACCACTGAATTTGAAAAATCATATAATGGCTCGTCATACGGGGGAAAGGCCTCATCACTGCCCTCACTGTGACCATAAATTTATTGCAGCCCATGATTTGAAAAGACATATATCAGCCCATCATACAGGTGAGAAGCCTCATCCCTGTCCTCATTGTGATCATAAATCTATTACAAGTCGTCAATTGAAAAACCATATAATGGCCCGTCATACAGATGAGAAGCCTTTTAAATGTCCTCAATGTGATTATAAATCTGTTCAGTCACAGAATGTGAAAAAACATATAATGTCTTGTCACACAGGTGAGAGGCCTCACCACTGTCCAGAATGTGATTATAAGTCTGTTACATTTCAAAATTTAAAAAGACATATATCAGCTCAACATACAGGTGAGAAGCCTCATCACTGTTCTAAGTGTGACTACAAATCTGTTACACTTCAACATTTGAAAAACCATATAAAAGCTCATCATATGGGTGAGGAACCTTTTCATTTTCCTCAGTGTGTTATTTCAGTAGAACCGCAATCATCTGAAGTACAAGGGGAAGAAGAGTCGCATGGGTAAACGACGATGATGGTTAATCAACAGACTTTTTATTTAAAGAATTATACATACGTAGATGTTTGTACTATGACCAAAAGAAATATTAACAAAAATTTAAATTAGGAAACAAGCTTAATTAATAGGGATAAATCAGCGAATGAATAAATATATAACACAATTTGGCCATCTGAAATCTATCATATATTAAGCTGCACCACTCTAGCTCAGACGAAAGGGCTGGTTTTCTAATAATAAAGCAGGGAAAGAATGGGTTTTATATACAGGAAATATATAAAATTAACAATGTATGACGAAAATAAAACAAAAACTATTGGTTACTTTTATACTATTTTTTATAGCATTATGAGGACTTGAATTATGAAGTAATAACATTACTACGATGTTCATCAGTTTATAATTAATACTTTGTCTTTGAAAATATAAGAACAAGTTAATGCAATTACATAAAATGATAGAGGAAATACAAAAGTATTTTATGATGTTGAGGAATGTTCATTATGATTTAAATCCAAAATTAAAAGTTATTATACTAATGTGTATATGCTAATAAAATATACACTAATCGCCAAGCAACACATAAGAGAGTGAACAACAATACATAAATTATAGAATGTACTAATATAGATATGATGTTAAAAACAAGCGAAATATAAAGTATATATATAAATAATAAAACCAGTTAAATTTATTACATTTTTAAAGATATATATTTCTTTAAAAATGTAATACATTTAGTTGGTTTCATTTTGTACATTTTTTTTTAAATAAACTTTTTCTTTATTGATACTTTTTTTTTTCTTCCTCATTTTGTTTTTGTTTTTTAATCACATTTTATTCAACCGTAATAAGTGATTGTTATTTCAGTCAAAGTTCACAGATAATGGCAGAGTATATTATGTGAATTCTTTTAAAATGCTCTTACTTGATACATCATCCATTTCACTGTGGTAGTAATGCAAAATAAAAAAAATCATCAAATTTCTAAAATTTTATTTATCCTGTAACTAGCATATGCTAATGAAATTGTAACATGAAAATTATTTCTTCTTTACATTTCTAAATGCACACTGTTCAATACAGGATGTTATAGTGTTGTGCTCTAACTGAAAATATGAATCAAGGAACTCAAAACTTTTTCAAAAATCAAAAAAATTTTTTTTTTTTGGAATGTCATCGAACAACAACATATATACCCAGTCAATAACCTTAATTATTTATGAAGGATAACTGAAATTTGCAAAAACTATGACAAAATTCCAGTGCCATTCGGCTGTGAAAGAAAAATGCCGAGCATTTCTTTATACTCAAGTTTGTCACTTTGAAGAACTTTCAGTATGATGGTAATAATGTATATATTTCATTAATAAAGTATTTGAAACACATGTCAATTTATTTATTACTAGTTGGCTCATGTGAATGGCTGGCACAGTTTAATGGTCAGTGATCAAATAACAAAATAATAAGGAAATGAAATAGTGCAGAAAATCATAAGAAGTAAAGTAAATTTTTATTTTCTGTACACTTACAATCGACCAAGGAAATTAAGATGAATTTAAAATTTCATTCATGTCCTAAACAAAAATGTTAAGAAATTACAATAAGTTGTATCTTGTAATAATAGTCCGATTTTAATGATAAATTTATTTTCCTTTTTAACTTTTTCGTCTAAATTTTCTGTATTTTAATAAGCCTAGATCCGATATTATATTTAAACAATTAGGTATACATCGTCGATTTATTAAAAAAAAAAAAAATACCCTTTGTGAAATCACATTGTACACTTACAATCAGTATTACGACTTTTGACTTATCGATGTTGTATTTAAAAGCAAGTAACTGTATATTGGTCAATTTTCCAAGATTAAATATAAGAATTTAAATACATATAAAAAGTGATAGACATTTAATTCCTTTAATTTTTACCGTGCAATATGACCTTACTTATTCATAATTAAATATATGTACTTTCTGATCTCTCATTGTCTGTAGAGCTCAGAGACTGGAGTTATGTGATTCAAATATACTGATGTAGTTATGAAGTTTTTATTGCCTACAATCGATATAATAAATAGGATTTATGTTATTTTGATGGTCTTAATGAGTTTTTGTATTGATGAATATTAACGAAATTCAAAAATATGTTTTTCACATTTTAGCTCCATTAAAAATTTGCTTCAAAAACTTCTAATACACCAATAATAAGTAATAGTAATAATAATAGACCAGAATTGCTTTTTCTCACTAGAGTGGTAAGTGAAAGTCCTGTGATGCACGCTCCAGATTTTTTTTTTTTTTCATTTCACAGAATGGGCTGTTTTTCTAACTAATTGAACACTTCCATTAAACACTTTTTATTTTAAACTGAATATACACAATCAATACATAGTAATTCTAATTAATATTAAAAACATGTGATCTGTGAATGTTATTAATAGGTTATAATTTACAACATAATAAGGCCACCAAAGCTGTACTGTGCATGCGAAAACAGTCCCGGACTGCTTCTTGATACAGTATTGGGATATAACTAATCCTATCATGTTTGTTATTATTTAAACAGAATTTTGAAAAACCTGTACCAAAAATAAATGTTTTTTCCTTAGATTATTTCTTGTCAAAAGGTATATTTAAGAGGACGATAAAAGAAGCAAAAAAAATATACATACATATTTACCAAAAATATATATTATACAAATTCTTTTAATTAGCAGAAAAACAAAATAATAACATTAAATACACACATAGTTACCAAAAATATATAATATACAAATTCATTCAATTACTAGAAATTACATACATACATAGTTACAAAAAATATATAATATAAAAATGTTTAACATATACACAGAATTATAATATGATTATGTGTACGTTTTAAAAATGTTCATTATGTTATAGTAAACAGAAAAAAAATAGTAATCTACTTAACCAAACGAAAACGAAAATAAACAACAATAAGACTATATACTGGTTCACCAAAAATGAAATCATACATTATAAAAGTGAAATAAATAATATCAAAATAAAATTATTATTCTAATAAAATGATATACTTGTTGTTCTTTTAACTCATTATAACCAAATGAATTGTTTTATTTACATTAGTTTTTATATGTGTCATATTATTTTCCCCCAAAAACAAATGAAAATATTCATTTAGTCATCAGGTGAATAAATGTACCTGAACTTTCCTTTATTTACGTTAAAAGAATAACGTATTACCGACTTTATACCAGGTAACTTTTTTACCTTTATTGAAATCTGCTCATCCAAATTATCTTGCAAAGGATTTGATTTCTTTAAATAATATGACAATGTTAGGTTTAGTTGAGTAGCCGAAAGGTATCCTATAACTTCCTGGTGTCCTTTCCAAGAAGCACCGTAGTTTAATCCTGTAAATCCCCATTTATCTTCTTTTTCTTTATTTAAAAGGGCTTGGCAAAGGAGTTTTACTATCTCGAAGTGACCTCTGGCAGCGCTGCGGTGCAAAGCATTCCTCTCATTGATGTCAGGCTGAACAGTTTCGACTCCGACCTGCAAGAGCAAAGCTACCACCTTAGTGTGCCCTTCTCTGGCAGCCAAGAACAAAGGGGTTTCTTTATAAATGTTCACAGATATAATTTGCCTCGAGTCAATTTTACTATTAGTTATTTCCTTCTGCAATAACTTGAGTATTACGTCATAATACCCGAATGATGCGGCGTAATGGATAGGTAGGTTGAGCAATGCATCCCTACTGAATTTGTTTGCTCCTTTGCTCAGTAGGTACTCTACGACTTCTGGGGAACTGCCTCTTGATGCTATATGTAAAGGGGTCATTTGGTTGTGGTCTTTTGCTTCGATATCTGCTCCACTGCCTAGAAGATGATAAATGATCATCTCTGCGGATTTGACACTCCATTCGCATACCAGATGTAATGGTGTGCTGCCGTTTTTGTTTCGGTTGTTGACGGAAGCTGCGAAATAAATCATCTCCCAAACTACATATACGTGTTTTTCTCTTGCTGCGAAATGTAATGGAGTCATGCCATCAATGTCAGATGCATCTTTTTCAGCTCCTTTCTCCAATAAGATGCTCACTATTTTAACATGACCCTCGCGTGATGCTAAATGAAGTGGAGTTTTTAAATCAATGGTTTTACCTTCTTTATAAGCATTAAGATCCAATAAATATTCGGCTATTTCTATAAATCCGTTCATAGCTGCAAAATGAAGAGGTGTGTATCCACTGTTATCTGCTTGGTCGATGGCTGCTGGTGGATCAGAAAGTAGTAATTTAACAATTGGAAGGAGACCTTTTCTGCAGGCGATGTGTAGGGGAGTGGTGCCATTGATATCGGCAGGACTTTTGTTGGATCCAGAACTCAATAGCAGTTCCACAACTTCCACATGATCATTCTCACAGGCGTAATGGAGTGATGAATATCCCCGGTTATCTCCTACATCTAAGGAAGCGCCGTATGATATCAACAGTTCAACCACATCCTTGAGACTGCAGTAGGACGCAACGTGTAGTGCTGTCGCATTATAAATCAGAATAACGTCGTTCCTTGATGTAAAAAGCTTTACGTCACAATCTGCATCTAAAAAAGTTTGAAAATTCTTTTCACTGATTGTATCATTTCCTGTTCTTAAAATTAATTTAACGAACTCAGTACTTCTTGACATAACTGCTAAAGTAAGGGGGAGATTACCGTGGATGTCTTTCTCCACAATATCTGCTCCGTGAGAGATGAGCATATTAAATCCTTCTGAAAACAGTGTCCCAATGGCATGGTTGAGAATAACTGTAGGATAGGAGTCGAAATTTTCACTGTTATCCAACAGAAGCGTTATTACTTCTATTGATTTATTTGAAACCGCATCGAAAAGAATTTTCGATCCTAAGAAACTGTTATCTTCCACTTTGGCTCCATGAGCAAGAAGTAATTTCATAACGTCCTTTAATAAAGGATCGAAAGTTAGATCTAAAGGGGTTCGTCCGTCTTCGCTCATCACATTCGGATCAGCCTTCTTGGATAAAAGGTATTTAATAAACTTAGTGTCATTTCTTTTGATTGCTAAGTGTAAGGCTGTGACGCCATTACAACCTTTTCGATTGACATCATCCCCGCCTTCTAACAAGGTCTTTATCACATCAACATTTCCATTATTAGCTGCCCACTGGAATGGTGTGAAGCAAACATAATCTTCGATACTGAAACTAGCGTTCTGTGAAAGCAGGTAGTCAACGACTCGGTTATAACCTAAAGCAGCAGTTTCATGGAGAACTGTTTGTCCGAAATAATTTTGCGAATTCAGTTTGGCTCCATGTTTTAAGAGGGTCTCCATTACAAAGATTGTTTTATTTTCAATGTTGAACATTTCATTGTAAACAATTTTTAGTTCTTTCAGTAATGCTCTCTTCATTTTGTTATCGTCCTTCCGGACTGCAAAATGTAGAGGTGTTTTGCCATTTTCTCCTCTGCTATTGATATCTGCACCATGATCAAGAAGCATCTCAATGACTTCAATTTTTCCATCCCAAGCTGCAAAGTGTATTGCGCCATTACCGAAATCGTCTGTTATTTCTAAAGAAGCATTGCTAAATATAAGTAAATTCACCATCGCTTCTTCAGCACTTAAAACAGCTTTAATCAAAGGTGTCATTCCGCCATTTCCATGGCTATTGATGTTACCTCCTTTATCTAGAAGAGTTTTAGATATGTTTATGTTCCTTTTAGTTATTGCTAAATGCAAGGCAGTATTATTATCCTTGTTCTTTACATTCACACTTGCATTCTGCGAAAGCAATAAATTCACCATAACTTCATCATCATTCCAAACAGCTGTCATCAAAGGTGTCTCTCCATTATATCCATTCATATTAATGTTAGCTCCGTTATCGAGAAGAGCTTTGACTATGTTTATACTCTTTTTAGATATTGCTAAATGCAAGAAATTTTCGTTTTTTGTATCCACAATTGCATTCTTCGACAGCAATAAATTTACCATAGCTTCATTACCAATCAAAATAGCGGTCATTAAAGAACTCACTCCTTTATATCTCTTGTTGGCGTTTGCTCCGCTGTTGAGAAGAATTTTGGCTATATTTATGTTATTTAGAATTATTGCTAAATCCAGGGCAGTAATACTATGGAACGTCTGTATATCCACACTTGCATTATTTGACAACAATAAAGTTACCATGTCTTCATCATTATTCCAAACTGCGGCCATCAACGGTGTCATTTTTTCGTCAGGTGTCATATTGATGTTAGCTCCTTTAATGAGAAGAGCTTTGGTTATGTTGATATTCTTTTTAAATATTGCTAAATGCAAAAGAGAGAGACCATCATTCATTATATACACACTTGTATTCTTTGACAACAAGAAATTCACCATAGCTTCATTACTATTCCTAACAGCTTGTATTAGAGGCGTATCTCCTTCATATCTCTGGCTGTAGACGTCAGCTACGTTATTAAAATAATATTTGTCTAAGTTGATGTTGTCTTTAGTTTGTTTTGAATAAAATGCCGTATTACCCTTCCAGCTCCTAACATCCACACTTGCATTCTTTGACAACAATAAATCCACCGTAGCTTCATCACCATTCAAAGCTGCAGCCATCAAAGGTGTCTCTCCATTAGGTCCCTGGATATTGACGTCAGCTCCTTTATCGAGAAGAGCTTTGACTATGTTTATATCCCTTCCAGTTATTGCTTCGTGCAAGGCAGTATTACCATTCAAGCTCTTAACATCCACACTTGCCTTCTTTGACAACAATAAACTCACCATAGCCTCATCACCATTCAAAGCTGCGGCCATCAAAGGTGTCTCTCCATCACAGTTCTTGGTATTGATGTTAGCTCCGTTATCGAGAAGAGCTTTGGCTATGTTTATTTTCCTGTAAGTTATTGCTAAATGCAAGGCAGTTCCACCATCCGAGTCCCTGATATCCACACTTGCATTCTTTGAAAGCAATAAATTTATCATAGTTTCATCAGCAAAATGAACAGTGGTCATCAAAGGTGTTTCTCCAACGTAGTTCTTGGTATTGATGTTAGCTCCATTATCGAGAAGAGCTTTGGCTATCTTTATGTTATTACTAATTATTGCTTTATGCAAGGCGGTATTACCATACCAGTCTCTGATATCCACACTTGCATTCTTTGAAAGCAATAAATTTACCATAGCTTCATCATCATAATTGACAGCGGTTATCAAAGGTATCTCTCCATAATGGTTCTTGGTATTGATGTTAGCTCCGTTATCGAGAAGAGCTTTGGCTATGTTTATTTTCCTGTAAGTTACTGCTAAATTTAAGGCAGTTCCACCATCCGAGTCCTTGATATCCACACTTGCATTCTTTGAAAGCAATAATTTTATCACAGCTTCATCATCATTCCAAACAGCGGTCATCAAAGGTGTCTCTCCTCTATATCCTTTGATATCGACATTAGCTCCATTATCGAGAAGAGCTTTGGCTATCTTTATGTTATTACTAATTATTGCTTTATGCAAGGCAGTTTCACCATACCTGTCCCTGATATCCACACTTGCATTCTTTGAAAGCAATAAATTTATCATAGCTTCATCAGCAGAACGAGCAGCGATCATCAATGGTGTATTTCCATATACCTGGCTGTCGGGATTAGCTTCGTTATTGAGAAGAGCTTTGGCGATGTTTATGCTTTTTTTAGATATTGCTAAATGCAAGGGAGAGATACCTTCATCGTCCATTATATCCACACTGGCATTCTTTGACAACATCAAATTTACTATAGATTCATAGCCGAAACCAACAGCGATAAACAGCGGTGTCATGCCAAAATTACCTCTAATATTAGCATTAGCGCCATGATTGAGAAGTATCTTAACTATATTCGGATGTCCTCCTCGTACTGAATAGTGAGTTGGAGTGTCATCGCAATCGTCTAAAACGTTTAAATTAGCATTTTTTGATATCAGCAGATTCACAAGAGATTCGTCTCCCCTCCAAGCGGCCAAATGTAAAGGTGTCTGGCCACCCAATCCTTTTATATTAACATCGGCAGTGTCTTCAATAATTGGTTTAGTAATATTGGAAATCCCTTTTCGCAATGCAGTGTGTATTGCAGCATTATGAACATTTCTTATACTGCTATGTTCCTTGTATTTCTTGGTAGTTCTGAGTATAGAAACAAGAACTGGTGAAAAACTACTGACAAGACCTTTAACATCATGTACTAGAAAATCATGTAGTTCTGAACTGCAGTTATCTTGGTACAAGAGAGGATCGAACTGATTGAGCTGCTCATGAGAGATCTCCATTTCAACAACCTCCACCTGAAAAAAAAGTTTTTACAGTAATTTAATGGCGATACATTTGCGAATAAAATATTAACTATGGCTGTTAATAAAATATTAACTAAATAACAATAACCAATAATAATATTAACTAAAAGTTAATAGAATATTAACTTTTAATTTGTTTATCTGATACAGGACTGTAGGATACCTTTAGAATAAATTAGAAATAAATTTACAGTTGTAAAACTGGAATTGACAATAAAATAATAATAAGGTGTCTGACTACTGACTGCTATCTGCCAATGTTTATAACCTGAACACTGATAACTCCCATAATGCAGTGATAAGCCTTCTCCTACTTCATATCTTCATGTTATTGTATTAAATTCGTATTATTGAAAGTGTACACAGAAAAATACTTTTATTTGACGACAAATATAATAATTAAATAATAAAAAAACACTTTAAGAAGATATGTACATATATAACATCAAAATGAAAAAAAAAAAAAACACATTTAAAAGAACATATAAAAGAAAAAATATAAAACATAAAATCTGTTTTATAAAAAGATGAAACATTCGTCTGGTTTTGTGAAATTCCACCAAACATCCACTGCTGAGGTAAAACTCTCCCCACATGATTTTTTCGTTTATAAAAAAGACTTTCGTCTACTTCAACCACTTTGCCAGGTCCTCCAATTTTTTTTCTTGGCCTGTATAACATGTAATGGGCACAAACCTCTCTTAGACATTTGTTCCACGTTACCATTACTCCGTAGGATAGTTTCAGCTGCTCTTTGCCCCACTTCATCATTGTCAAGCTATGGGACCACCCATAAATCAATTTTAAAGCTGTTAAAAACGAAATCTTCGAGCCCTCCAACCATGTTCCTTTCCTTATTGAAAGTTTTGTGTCATAAGTCCTACGAAAGGTTCTCCATTTGGCCTTCCTGGTTGACTTCATTGATGACCTCGTTCATACAATTTCAAGTCGGCAAGTACCCCAACATTTTGAAAATATTGAATTGCCTGTTCTTCTGAAGGCGGAAAATCCCATATTCTAAGAAGATCCATAATATGACGAAAACTAACGAAAAAAAAAAAAATGAAAAATAAACACAAAGGGGCCAAAAACTAAAAAAAAAATGTAAAATTAACACAAACGGACCAAAAATTAAAAATAATGAAAAATAAACACAAACGGGCCAACAGTAAAGAATTTAATAAGTGAACGTAATAAAGGAATAACTGAAAACTAAACAATGCAATAACTGAAAAGTTTGGTGGGATAAGAAGAGGGAGGTTATGTGACGTGACATTAGATAAGATAGATAAGAAATGAGGTTTCAGTCCGGCCCGCTAGACAATAAGTACCCGGTTTTTTTCTTAATTTAATTATTTAATTTATTATTACATTTTTAGTTTTTAAAAGATTAACAATTTATTTTCATCGCAATAAGTTCAAATCAATCAAGATCGAGATACTTAAACCATAATACAATTTGTTTCCAGTATTTTGATCTCAATCGTTTTAAAACATTCACGGGATCTCAGTGAGTAATTACAGTCGTCAAAACTAAACATCGGTCACGCCGTCTGCTAAAAAACTCTTTACGTACCTTTTAGCAGATTGATTAAAATTTCAAAACACCTAATAATTTGAGGCATCAAACTTAAAAATCGATCCAGCCGTTCGCTAAAAACAGGGTTATAAAGCTTTCAGCGGACACCCCTAACACAAGATCTTCTTGTCGTTTCGCTTTCTAAACACTCACGGGACCTCACCAAACTTAAAAATCTACCCAGCCGTTCTCTCGAAACAGCGTACAAAACTTTTTGCAAATTGATTTAACACATTTTATTTAATAGCAGTCTATTGTTTTTAGCTTAAATTGTTATTTATAATTTAGCTTAAAAACAATCAGGGGATCTTATCGAATAATTTGAACATTCAAACTTAAAAATTTAGCCGTTCGCTCAAAATGCACTACATAGCTTTTAGCGCACCTCGCTTAGTCGCGTCAAAATACAACAAATATAATTTTGTTGAAATATTATTAAGACTAATTGTTGAATTGTGGGTAGTTTTAAGTCAGGAGGTGTACTAGTTACTTTTGTACAACGAGGTAGTTGTTGATGGAAGAAAAACAATGAAATTTAAAAATATTGATTTTTCCAGTATTAACCACCTAGAGTTATATGAAAATGTGATTTTTATCATTACTATACGGTCTCTATTACTTTGCATTTACATAGAATATTTACGTTTTCATGAAAATAATCCATGCAATCAACAGGTTTCTTTATTTTAAACGTAACTATTAAGAATAGGAGCATTTAGTTTGCTACATAAAGAGAAACTTCTTTAATAGAGATTAAAATAAAGAGCATGTGTAAAACTGGCGTTGCGCGCTAAATCAACCTGATAAATCTAAAATAACGAGTTCAAATCCTGGCACTGGAGGGAGTTTTACCTCTGATATAAATACTACGCCATCTCCTCTGGTCCGGGAAAATCCCCGTACAGCCTAAAAGGCGAGGAAGGAATGGGAAAAAAAACTATAAAAGATTAAATCCTGGATCCGCTAGTGGTCTGAAGGGGTAGAGGAGGGGTAGAGGAGGGGCAGAGGAGGGGTAGAGGAGGAGTAGAGGAGAGGGTAGAGGAGGGGCAGAGGAGGAGTAGAGGAGGGGTAGAGGAGGGGTCTATATTGAAAATGATAATACTTGAAGGAAGTCAGTCGACTGTTTTACATGTCATGGGTGATAAATATTCAGGACGCAGTCTTTTTTGATTTTTGCCACTGTTTCAATACATTGGAATGTCTTTATTATAAAAAATATTTATCTAACCGTTGTATACTTGCTATCAAACTAAGCTATATTTATATTGATTGGCACCTTTTGCTTATGTCCATTTCATTACTAGCCAATAGTCACATATCTGTAATCATATGAAATAACTCAAATATTGTACACGTCTGAAATATTTAGTCAGCAAATTACGTACATTCTACAAACATAAATGTTACCTCCCTTCCCCTCTGACTATGTTTACCTACCTTTTGCTATCTGAAAAAGGACAACTGGGAAATCCTACACCCCCCTGACCTTTTTACTTACCTACCAAATGTGTCAGTACTTGAACACCATCAGTGCTCAAACCACGGTTAGTAAGAGAAAATATTACAAATTTGTATAAATGGATTATATACATTATTATTTTTTTTTTAATTTTAGTTTGTATAACTATTTACATATTTAATTTTAACATGTGTATTGCAATATTAGTTAAGATTCATGTACCATCAATCACTGTAGTTTATTATTTATAATTAGCGGTCGTATACTATTATATCTCTGATTGTAATTTTAAAAAACATATTCAGCCCTGAAGATGACCCACATGTTTGGGTTGAAACGTTGGCAAAAATAAAAAAATTTAAAAAAGACTGCGTTCTGAATATTTATCACCCATGAAAATGTTAATAAGTAAAAATTTATGAAATCGATATGAAATATTTTGTAGTTTGATTAAGAAACGTTTGTATAAATACCTGAGGTGTAACTTCCTCTGTCAGATCAGAAAGTGATGATGCCATGGCTGTAGTTGAATCGCCTGTAATTTCGGTAAATCCTTCAGCTGAAGTAGCTATATCTCTATAAGTCCCGTTTGAAGTTTGAGCAAGAGCGGCACAATATTGCATTTGTCTTGCACATAAAGCATTATCCTGAAAAAAAAAAAATGCAATTTCTCTGTTTAACATGGATAAATTAATTGGTTAAAGTATGAATACGCACTAATAATATAACTTCAATATTATTTACAGAACTAGCGGACCTAGAGGAAGCGCGACCACCCCGCTGGAACGCGAGAGAAAATTTTATCTCGAAAAAAGTAACTGCCTACAAATATATTTTATTTAAAAATGAATTGCATAAACAATTAATTTGGTTTATACTCTTACTTCCACTAACCTATATATATATATATATATATATATATATATTTTTTTTTTTTTTTTTTTTTTTTTTTTTTTTTTTTTTTTTTTTTGTTCTTCACTACCTCGCCTTTTAGGCTATACGGGATTTTCCCGGACCGGGAGGTGAGGGCGGGGAATTTAAAATCCCCTCCGGCACCGGGACGCGAACTATCTCATTTTTTTTTTTTATATCATCTCAAATCTCTGTTATTCGGTTGCCAGGCAACTAGCGGTGTTATAGATATATATATATATATATATATATATATATATATATATATATATATATATGTGTGTAATATATATATATGTGTAATATATATATATATATATGTAATATATAGTAAGAGAAAGTATTGCGATCGTGAAAATTTACGGATCTGAATTTTCAATGGAAATACACGTTTTAAGGTTCCCAGAGTCCAGATAACCAAGTCCCGCACAATGGTCTATGTGTCTGTGAACAGTCTAGCTCAAAAACGAAAAGTCTTACGAAACTGATATTATATATTTAAGATAAGAATATGCCTTAGATGTGGCAGCAACTTTTTCCTTAAAATCGGCTAACCGAAGGTGCCACTTCGCCGGTGAAACACATTTTTATAATTTTCTCAAAAACGCCTCTAACAACGATTAATTAAGTGGTCTTTAATATCATTTAGGTCTTATTCCCATTGATGTCACATTACAGGGCTTAAATGCCCAGTGTTCATATACTTCTTCCTATAATGTATCTCTAATATGGTTAATTATAAAAAATTAAGATTAGGAAAAATTGATTAATTTTCATTGTGGTTAATTTTCGTTGTTTTAAAATTTTAAGAAATAATCTTTTATATTATTCTTTTAACTGTATGTAACCGTCCTTTATTTTCACTCTAATCTAAATAAATAAACAAACACAAGGCAGTTAAATGGACTAAAGTTTAAAATTAAATAAAAGGTGGAGTCAATGGGTATCAGACGGCCTCAAGGGAAAAAACAATCTTTATTTACATGTTCCACTAAGATTACTGTCTGTTAACAATAAAATGTAATTGTTTTCAATCTCTAACCCTTATTCTTTTTAAATGTGATTATAATTTCAAAACGGTAAATTGAATCTGAGAGTATTTGCTCGAACCTTTTTGACTTGATCCACCGCCGGATCTACGGGGGAGAGGGGCTTTCGGGCTGAAGCCTCCCCCCCAAAATGGTAAAATATAACCATGTTTTACAGAAAAAAATACTAAAGTATTCTTATTCGTTTAATTATATTTAATAGGACTTCAAGAACCACTTAAACGTCATTTCGTAGAGGTAGTTAATTTCTTCCTTTTTTTTTTTAATTAATTAATTTTTATACTTATATGAAAAAAAATATTTCGGGCTGAAGCCCCCCAAAATTAAATCCTGGATCCGCTCGTGACTTGATCTGCATCAGTTGTTGTTAATACAATCTTTAAAATTAATGAAAAAATCAGATATTCTTTTCAACGGAAAATGTGAGGAAGTATCGATGGTGCTCAAAATATCATTATCGATGTTTTTTTAAATAAAAATAAAAGGTTTATTATTCCATAAGAACTATCAAAAATGAATATTTATAATTAACAAACGATACAATTTTTAAGTTATTACATATACATATATTATAATTATATTTTGTGATTTATTGTTTTTGTTTTTTGTTAATTAATTTAAATTTACAACTGTATACATATACAACTAGTAAATATGCACAAATTATAAATAATGACATGTACAGGCTTGAAGAGATACTACCCAGTGGTAGCACTCCCTAAAGAATTCTAAGAAGATCACGGTGCCATCTCCTTTTCAGTCGCCTAGGAGGATTATTAGAAAAAGCGTGGGTGCAAACAAGGGGATTTGGATGGGACTGGAGTTTATCATGAAAGGATAGGCATCTGGCTCGAGCTAAATCAGCGACATATGGTACATTAAGGTCTTTATGAATGGTTTTGTTTGTGACAAAATATGGAGCATTATGGATTTTACGGAGGATTTTGGATCGTAAGGATTGGATACGAGAGGAATTCGATGGTTTGGTGGAGCCCCAAAGCTCAACTCCGTATGTCCATATAGGTCTTATTATAGTTATGTAGATAAGTCTTTTGTAATTAAATGAAAGTTTAGAGCTTTTGTCTAGTAAGTGTTGGAGCAGTCTAGTATGAGGATTCCAAGTGGAGTCCTAAGTAGCGGCTTTGCTCAACAGGAATAAGTGGTGTATTGTAGAAGGATACTGTAGGACAAGAAGTCATAGGTTTACGACGGAGGGTAAAGGTGATTTGATGGGATTTGTTGGAATTTATTTTAATCCTCCAGTTTTGACACCATTCTTCAAGGCTTGTGATTGAAGAGTTTGGGATGCAATTAAAGGGTCATTATTAACAGATAGCAAACATGTGTCATCGGCGTACGTGGTGATGACAGTGTCAGGATGGGTTGGGATGTCAGCTGTATAAACTGTGTAGAGGATGGGACCGAGGATACTACCTTGTGGAACGCCTGCAGATTGAGCAAAGAGGGATGAGCAGACATTATTTTGGTTTAATTTGAAGTATCTATCAGTAAGATTTATTGTTTTAAAATTAAAAAACAAAACAAAATAATGGTTGTATGTATTAATATAGACAGGAGTTATAAGTAGGTATCTGAAATTATGCGTTTTATGAGGTATCTATCATTTTCGATGTTAATTATTGTCAAATTTAAAAATTCCCAGGTTTTTTTTTAAATTATTTTTTAGTGATATTAAAGAAATACACTTGGTTTAATTTGAACATATGAATATAATGACGTGAAAACACTTGTTGAGTAAGTTCCCAATGGTAGCACTCTAATGATATGTCTACATTAGGAGATCACGGGGCCATCTTATTTTCAGACGCCTCGGAGGGTTATCAGGAATTGAAGAGGAAGCAAGGTTAGAAACGAGAGGGTTGGGATGGTTCTGAAGTTTATTATGGAAGGATAGGTATCTGGATTGGGCCAGATCTGAAACATAAGAAACATTAAGGTCATTATGGATGGTTTTATTTGTAACAAATTAGGGAGCATTGAGGATTTTACGAAGGATTTCGGATTGTAAGGATTGGATACGAGAGGAATTCGATTGTTTAGTGGAGCTCCATGGCTCAACTCCGTTAGTCCAAATAGGCCTTACTATAGTCACGTATGTGAGTCTTTTGTAATTAATTGGAAGTTTAGAGCGTTTGTCTAGTAAGTGCTGGAGTAATCGGAAACGTCGAGCGGTTTCTTGTCGTTTCAGTTATTTCCAGGTTTAAACAAAGAAACAGGAATTTTTTTTTTTGTTTTTCGACAAAATTTTCTGATGTCGTCGTGATATTCGTGTTCCTTGGCCTTTAAAACATAAGTGTACTAAATATAAAGTTAATCCAACATCATTCACGAGTTCTAGTCCCATGTCCACGAAAACCCGTCTGTCATCCCACTGTGTATCGCCCTCTTGGAGCAGGGAAAGGGAACTAACCGGAATTATTAATAATATCAATAAGAGTTTACACTCAACATGCAATATTACACTATATACTTTTCATTATATAATTTACACAATAAATGTACTTACAGTGAGAAGGTGGTAGTAGAGATAAGAGAGGATACAGTTGAGAGAGAGCGACGTCACAAGAAAACTTACAAGCACCAAGATGCGAAAAGACATTTTGAGAATTGAGTAGTCGATTCTAGACTAGTCGTGCCAAGAACTGACTGCAGTCCTCTCTCTCTTTATATATATATATACATTTCGTATCGAATACGGCCGTCCGCAGGAAGTGAATAATCTTTTGGTGTGATAATGGGGAAGGCCGTGAACGTATCATAACTTATTTTCTTATATTATTATCTATCAACGGGGTGCCCATCCACTCATGTTAAACGCCGAAAAAAAAAAATATTGCAACTCTCACTCATATAATTAATATTAGCAGGTCCGTGTGAAAAATTCGCACAGCATATTGTTATCAAATGCCAAATTAATAAGAAAATAAGAAAATGCAACTTATCAAAAGATTAAGAGATCAAACGTTACTTTATCGATAAATATAATCCACAAAGCAAACAAAAATTAATTTAAATCTTCATTTTTGTTTGGAACCAACATGTATACAAATTTCAGTAAGCTGTATATTTGCTAAAAATTTTCCGATTGCGATGATTTTTTTTCCCTTTTGTAGGGAATTTAGTAAGCTTTTATATAATTATGGGCATAACCAAGGGAAAAGTGTGTAACTTTTCAGTTATTCGCAAATAAAGTTTATTTTCTTTCATAAGTTGTTTGCCTGAATTTTCTGGGTGATTGGACTATTTTGCCAGCCTGAAGGAGAAGGAAGCCTTCGAAATTGGTGGCTCAATCTTGAGATTTGGTGAAAAATTAACGATGATATGGCTTGCCGATCAAAAACACCATCGATGAATAATATAAACTCCTCCTGTCTCGATCATAGAGACCTCAAGTCGACGAAATGAGACATCTATTCAATGACAGTACTACAATTAATGTAAGGTTGTGTGGATACGAACCCTATGCCTTGCGTTATCTCGAAAATAGTACGTTTTTCGGCTTAAAAACGCAGGATCCGATAGTTCCAAAGGAACTATCCGGGTCTTCCTGTACGCATCAAAATCTTTAAGATCCAATCTGTCCCGTATCGATCTACAGACCTCCAGTATCGAAGCCTAGCAAAATGTTTGTATCGACTTTATTTATTTTAGAAAGAAAAACAAAAGTGAAGAATACGATTCGCTAACCCCCCGTGAAATTCTGAATCCAACGGTACCCCATTCGTGGTATTTCAGCATGACAGGAGCTTATATTTAGTACAAAACCGATTTCGAGCCTTACTGTAATAATATATGTACGGATGTATCTATTTGAAATATTGTATCAATAGTATTCTAAAAGATAGTAGGTGTAATCTTGTTTTGTTTCTCGAGGATATTAAAGGCACAATACATTAGGCATTACAATGTACATCACTCCACAGGCGGATCTACGATGGGGGGGGGGACTTTCGGACTGAAGCTCCCCCCCCCAAAAAAATGGTATAATATAACCATATTTTACAGAAAAAAATATTAAAAACTATCTCTTAAAGTATTCTTGTTCGTGTAATTACATTTAGTAGGACTTAAACACCATTTCATATAGGTAGTTAATTTTTTTTTCAAATTAATTATCATTAAATATATATGAAAAAAAAAGCTTTCGGGCTGAAGCCTCCCAAAATTAAATTCGGATCCGCTAGTGATTGTTACTGTATACTAATCTTGCCAGACAATCAACTGATTGTAAATGATGTATTAGACAGGAGTGGATGTAAAATTTAAGTAAAAAAAAGTTATTAAAATTCAAATGTTTTTCTTTTTTATATATCTATTTGTTTTACTTATTTAATTTGCTACCGATTTCTGTATTTTTTTTTATTATTATTATTATTTTTTTTTAATTTGAATTCAAGTTAAATTTCTTTAGTTTTATAGTTTTTACCTTTTATATACATATATATTTTCATTTTTTATTATTTTTTTTATTGCATTGTATATATAGTATGAATGGGCCTCACTCAGCTTTAGTACTCAGTGCCCTTAAATGTGGCAAAATGTATTATTTCTCAATAAAAAGATTTAAATTTTTTTTTTTCGAATTAACTATCGTTTGATATATATATATATATATATATATAGATAGTAATTAACTATCGTTTGATATATATATATATATATATAGATAGTAATTAACTATCGTTTGATATATATATATATATATATATATATCAAACGATAGTTAATTCGAAAAAAAAATTTAAATCTTTTTATTGAGAAATAATACATTTTGCCACATTTAAGGGCACTGAGTACTAAAACTGAGTGAGGCCCATTCATACTATATATACAATGCACTATATATACAATGCACTAGCGGATCCATGATTTAATTTTGGGGAGGAGGAGGGGGCTTCAGCCTGAAAGCTTTTTTTTTCATATATATATATATATATATATATATATATATATATATATATATATATGAAAAAAAAAGCTTTCAGGCTGAAGCCCCCTCCTCCTCCCCAAAATTAAATCATGGATCCGCTAGTGCATCACTCCAAATACGAATTCGAAATGTACTATTAAATTTAATTTCAGATAATAATTAAATAATTTTCTACAGTTAAATTAAACCATAACTAGTTAAAACATGGCGGGAATCAAGTAAGCTTTCATATTAGGAGGGGCAATGCGGATTTTTTCTTTCGAAATGTACTATTAAATTTAATTTCAGATAATAATTAAATAATTTTCTACAGTTAAATTAAACCATAACTAGTTAAAACATGGCGGGAATCAAGTAAGCTTTCATATTAGGAGGGGCAATGCGGATTTTTTCTTTCGGAAAAGTATATTATTACAAAAAAAACCTGTACCACTACAACCCATGAAGGGTCTGGGGTTCAGTACTATTTAGAGAAAGTATTATTACAACAATTATTATTTATTACAACAATTATTATTTATTACAACTATTATTATTATATTATTACAACAATTCATAAATATTTTTATATGAAATGCAATATGTTGTAATAATATAATAATAATGTTGCAGTAAGTAAGTGCCGTAAGTATAGAGAAATTTTGATAAAAGTGATAGAAGATCTAAATACCCACAAAAAAGTTCATATAATTAATGGGTCAATTTTCAGAAGAGTAGGAAATCCATGTCTTGTGTTTTTTTTAAGATAGTCATGTTTTTTTGTTGAATAGCGATAACAATAGAAATATTTAATTTTTATATATATATTTAATTTAGGAATTAACAATCACTTCACTGTAAACTAGTCAAAATTTACTTTAATTGAGAAGAGAGTTTGTCATTATTAAAGCCATTTAAAGAGGATATTTTAGCGGCTAAACTAAGCTAAGTTCTGTTTTTAAAAAAAAATCATACATTATTCGGGATGTTTTTTTATTACCACCCTCAAACTATAGTACAGTTACACAATTTTTAGAAAAACTACCTCGTTTAATAAATTTTAAATTTATATTAATTAAATTGAGGTTTTTAAGGCAAATATTTGAGATTCACCTCAATTTTTTTAAAGAAAATAAAATCTTTATTTTAAATTTTATTATTTTTCTAAATGAAATATGTATTTTTATTATAATACATCCCAGATCATGGAAAAACAAGAAATAAAAGCATTGGAACAGTTAATTGTAGTCAAATTTGCTGAAAGCACGGCTACTTTTATGAGAGTTACACTTCTATTTATATTCTCTCAGATAATATACAAAAATTCCTTAAATCGATTATAACCACGTCTTGGCCTTAAGTCCCATAACAAACTTTCCTTTTCACCAACTTGAAGGATCCCAAAATTTTACAACACTGATCTAATGTAGTTTACCGTATACCTTGCTCTACTCCTAATTGTAATAGCTCCTGTATTGGTGAAACCAAAAACCATCTCAAAACCCGCATTTCCCAACATATAACTCCTTCTCCAATAGTTCCATTTCTTGGTTCCAGTCTTCTCTCTCACAACGAACCCAAGCAGTTTCCATATCTAATCAACCTCTATCTGCCTACCTTCCTTTATCCTCTGGAATTGCACAGGGTTCAAGCATGTCTCCTCTTCTTTCCAGCTCTTATATTAATGACCTAAATGATTCAATTATCTATTGTTCCCACCACCTTTATGCCGACGATTCTCAAATCTATTTATCCTTTTCTCCTGGTGATTTATTGGTGGCATTTGCAAAAATTCAAGAAGATTTAGATGGAATTAGTGCCTGGGCCAACTTAAATGGATTAAGGCTAAATGGTGCCAAAACTCAGGCCATTCTCATTGGTTCCAAGCCCCTCCTTAGATCCCACACCAACTTTCCGTCACTCTATCTAAACAACCACCCCTTCTATCCCTTTGTTAAAAATTTAGGCTTTGTTATAGATCAAACCCTTTCCTGGAATCACCATATCTCTCATATATCCCGCCGTGCAATTTCTACCCTCAAACTATTCCATCACTTCCGCCATCTTCTACCCCAAAATACCCGTAGACTCCTAGTTTCCTCTCTCATCTTCCCCCACTTTGACTACAGCTGTGTGGTGTACGATGGCCTCTCGGTGGAACTCAGTGATAGACTCAAAAGACTTATGAATAGCTTCGTAAGATTTGTAATTGGGACCCCGAGACGCTCCCGTGTCTCCCACCACTACACTGAGTTAGGGTGGCTCTTCCCTTCCTTAAGAAGACAATATTTCCTAGGCACTTTCATTTATCAAATCATTACCGATCATTGTCCTTCTTATGCCTACAGCCTTCTCCAATTTAAGTCCTCAATCCATTCCCTCACTACAAGATCCCGACCCTCTGACCTATACATCCCTTCTCATAGATCTGTCTCATTCCAAAATTCCTTTATAGCCCGCTCTGTCAACTTTTGGAATTCCCTCCCGATAAAAATTCGACATGCCCCTTCCCTATACACATTCAAAAACCTCCTGTTCCAATTCCTGTTCCAAAAACAGTCAGATACCAGCTAACTATTAATATTATATATGTATTGTGTAGCAATCATATAATCATAATACTTGATACTAGAGATAGTATATACATTTCCTACTATCGACGTAGGAATTTCAATACATACATTTTTTTT